ACCATGATTACAATGAACGTCACCGCTGATTAGCGTGACTTTACCGAAAGAACCAAGAAGAAGAATCCCTGCAGTCACGAAAGCTTTAAATCGAAATTTAAGCGCCTCTACGGGGAGGGTTTCCACATAACTTTGAGATCCTTCTACAAGCTCCGGGATACACTCCAAGCCTAAGACGTGTCATTTAGACTATCGACAGACATGTTCTTCACCTGAGGACGGCTGCTTGCGTTGTGGCCGAAACGTCGTGAGAATTCCCTTCTACGTGACTTTACCGAAAGAACCAAGAAGCTGATTAGCCACGGTCGGCCACGTACGGCGCGGAAGAAGTTGGACTTGCATAACGTCTGTGGGCGGCAATCGACATGGGGCCCGTGGGTTTCGTAGCGCAGCGCGTTAACCGCACTCGCTGACGCGCGTGCTTAGTGCGCATTTTCGACAAGCGTCGCATTGCTTTTTAATGCACAGTCGGAACAAATGTGTTTCGGCATCGGGTGTTTTTTTTGTGTGTGTGTGTAGTGGGTTCGTGTGTCAGCTATGCTTGAGTGGAAACCCTTAATTTGCATTTTTATGCTTCTGCTTTGCAGAGCTGACATTGTGACATGATGTACCACACACACTCTCTTGCCTCACTTGTGTTGCTCTTTGACTTGTGTATATTTATATATTTTTCTAAGAGACAACATATCCCGACGGGGCAACTTTTCATGCCAAGACACACGGGGGCAGAGCATTTTCCATTCCTAAAGATGACAAAGTTCCCCCGTGTAGCCTTAGCGGACTTTGGGGCAAGTGCCGTCAGCGAGCACCTGTGAAGGCCAGGACGGGTGGCCAGCACACTACGCCCGGCCGCCTTTGTCTCCCCAGTGGCGACATTTACACACCGCACCAGGTACCCATTTCGGGCTGAGTCGACGTAGGGGATGCCCCAGACCAGGGAATTGAAACTCTGGCCGCCGGGGTTCGTAGCGCAGCGCGCTAACCGCTGCCACGCTACCTCTCCCCGAAAAATGTCACGCGCACGCGCAATATGAAACCCTAAGAGATGAATTCAACCTCATTCAGAAGCTGTCTTTCCGACAGACCTGTTCTTCACCTGAGGACGGCTGCTTGCGCTGCGGCCGAAACGTCGTGAGAATAGTATTTTATTATGTTTAAATAATATTATTTTATTATTTCCCTTCTACGTGACTTTACCGAAAGAACCAAGAAGATGAATTCAACCGTTTCTCGTACGGGGTCAGATTTGAAAGGAACCCTGTGGTGCCTGAGAGTGCGACCACCGCAGAGACGGAGCTACGAGCCCGGCTCGCCCGCAGGAGCCAGACGGGATGGCGTGAGCGTGGTAGAGGTGGCGACATGCCATGGGAATCTGGAATTTACACTCTTCGCGGGGCGGGCGGGGGGGGGGGGTGTAAATGGGAAAAGAGCTCGTGGCTTCTGCGCTCGTTCGATCAGGAAGTCACGGTGACTCGTCACGGATTCTATCGTGAACACACAGCTGTTATAATGATTACTACATGCCCTAGGTGTGTCATTACACAATCTTGTTTTTACGTTAATGCTTTATACTGGTAGCAACCTCTGGTTACACCAGCCCACAGGGGATTATTGTGTCCGTCCGTCCGTCGTGCAGGGAGGGGAGGGGCTGGGTGGGGAGGATGGGGAGGGGCTGGGTGGGGAGGGTGGGGCTGGGTGGGGGGGGAGGGGCTGGTCACCCCGTGGTGCCCTTATAAAACTCAACGTTTAACCTACTCACGCCGGCTTGTGCCCGCCCTCACAGTCGGCCATATTTGCGGAATACACCACGCCGCTGTTGACCCTGGCCATTGACCGAGCAACCCAACGTTCCTACCAGCTCCCTCCGCAGGAATGTGTTTTAAATCGCTCGCAGTATGCACGGCATCTCCCGTAACCGCAAAAGGCTTTTAATCCCCCCCCCCATCCACGCTTACCAATTAGTCCGGCTGGGACAGCTTTTACGGAAGTGGTCCGCGTGTTTCTTTGTGGCCACGATCTTTAACGAGCGAGGTGTGCGTCGCACGCGCTCCCACGGGGTCGTGGAACCCCGTGGGAGGATTTCGCTGCCGAGCCCGCAGTCAGATTTACGTGCCGTCAGCTGAGCATGACTCAGCAAGCAGCAGCAGCTCCCACGTGGTATGGCCCGGGGAGGAGATGTGGGGGGGGGGGGGGCTTAAGTGTTTAGTAGTTGAATCAGTAATGACATTGAGGGACTGTTGTTGTTGTTGTGTTGGTGTGGTCTGGGACTGTTGTTGTTGTTGACTTGGTGTGGTCTGGGACTGTTGTTGTTGTTGTCTTGGTGTAGTCTGGGACTGTTGTTGTTGTTGTCTTGTTGTGGTCTGGGACTGTTGTTGGTGTTGTTGTCTTGGTGTGGTCTGGGACTGTTGTTGGTGTTGTTGTCTTGTTGTGGTCTGGGACTGTTGTTGGTGTTGTTGTCTTGTTGTGGTCTGGGACTGTTGTTGTTGTTGTCGTCTTGGTGTGGTCTGGGACTGTTGTTGTTGTTGACTTGGTGTGGTCTGGGACTGTTGTTGTTGACTTGGTGTGGTCTGGGACTGTTGTTGTGCTGGTGTGGTCTGGGACTGTTGTTGTTGTTGACTTGGTGTGGTCTGGGACTGTTGTTGTTGTTGTTGTCTTGGTGTGGTCTGGGACTGTTGTTGTTGTTGTGTTGGTGTGGTCTGGGACTGTTGTTGTTGTTGACTTGGTGTGGTCTGGGACTGTTGTTGTTGTTGTGTTGGTGTGGTCTGGGACTGTTGTTGTTGTTGACTTGGTGTGGTCTGGGACTGTTGTTGTTGTTGTCTTGGTGTGGTCTGGGACTGTTGTTGTTGTTGACTTGGTGTGGTCTGGGACTGTTGTTGTTGTTGACTTGGTGTGGTCTGGGACTGTTGTTGTTGTCTTGGTGTGGTCTGGGACTGTTGTTGTTGTTGTCTTGGTGTGGTCTGGGACTGTTGTTGTTGTTGTGTTGGTGTGGTCTGGGACTGCTGTTGTTGTTGTGTTGGTGTGGTCTGGGACTGCTGTTGTTGTTGACTTGGTGTGGTCTGGGACTGTTGTTGTTGTTGTGTTGGTGTGGTCTGGGACTGTTGTTGTTGTTGTGTTGGTGTGGTCTGGGACTGTTGTTGTTGTTGTCTTGGTGTGGTCTGGGACTGTTGTTGTTGTCTTGGTGTGGTCTGGGACTGTTGTTGTTGTTGTCTTGGTGTGGTCTGGGACTGTTGTTGTTGTTGTGTTGGTGTGGTCTGGGACTGCTGTTGTTGTTGTGTTGGTGTGGTCTGGGACTGCTGTTGTTGTTGTGTTGGTGTGGTCTGGGACTGCTGTTGTTGTTGACTTGGTGTGGTCTGGGACTGTTGTTGTTGTTTTGTTGGTGTGGTCTGGGACTGTTGTTGTTGTTGACTTGGTGTGGTCTGGGACTGTTGTTGTTGTTGTTGTCTTGGTGTGGTCTGGGACTGTTGTTGTTGTTGTCTTGGTGTGGTCTGGGACTGTTGTTGTTGTTGTTGTTGACTTGGTGTGGTCTGGGACTGTTGCTGTTGTTGTCTTGGTGTGGTCTGGGACTGTTGTTGTTGTTGTCTTGGTGTGGTCTGGGACTGTTGTTGTTGTTGTTGTCTTGGTGTGGTCTGGGACTGTTGTTGTTGTTGACTTGGTGTGGTCTGGGACTGTTGTTGTTGTTGTCTTGGTGTGGTCTGGGACTGTTGTTGTTGTTGTCTTGGTGTGGTCTGGGACTGTTGTTGTTGTTGTTGTCTTGGTGTGGTCTGGGACTTGTTGTTGTTGACTTGGTGTGGTCTGGGACTGTTGTTGTTGTTGTTGTTGTCTTGGTGTGGTCTGGGACTGTTGTTGTTGTTTTCTTGGTGTTGTCTGGGAGTGTTGTTGTTGTTGTCTTGGTGTGGTCAGGGACTGCTGCTGTTGCTGTTTTGTTGCCTTGCATTTGGTAATGAAAATTCGGCAGGATTTGGTGTACTTTTGGCGATTTGTACTTTACTTATTCGTACTTATTCGTCACTTGTTTACCTCTTCTCTACTTGGCGTTGCGGAGAGATGGTGACGGATAATCCGGCCAGCGTGCCCCCCCCCCCGCAGTTCCCAATCGTAAAGGAACATGGAATTTCCACCGCTGGCTCGGAGTACAAAACGGGAGGGGAGTGGGGGGGAGCACCAGTGACCTCACTACTGCTCACTGGAGCAAGGGGGAGATCCGTTTGACTTTGATACGTTTAGAGTAAAAACGCCGCGATTAGCAAGGCGGCTCATGACACCGCGGATTGTGTCTCCTGAGAAAACAAACACCACTTGCGAGGATGGACGGATGAAAGAAGATCGATTTTTAAGAAAATTTGTTGGTCGCGGCGATGGTTGTAGTGGTGACGGATGAGTCGGCGGTGATGATGAACTCATTTAAAAAAAATGTTTTACCAGGTAAGGCTCAAACTAAGCTACCTTGATCTTTTTCAGAAGCTACCTGGCTATCACAAATGATAGCTCAACGAAGTGGCTTATCACGTGGAAATGTACAGCAGCCAAATACTCTAAACGCATGACGTTGATTCTAAACGCGGAGGGAAAAACCGGAGAAAAATCCACTCCACTACGGGGAGAGAGACACGCAAACTCCAAATACACAGCAGCAGGCGTCAGTCAGAATCGAGCCCACGCGCTCCTGTCTACCAGGCAAGGTAGTTAACATCTCCTAGCCACCGTGATGATGATGAGAGCGAGAGACACGCAAACTCCAAATGTACAGCAGGCATCAGGGTCGGGATCGAACCCACGACCTTCTGTATACCAGTCGAGGTAGTTAACATCTCCTCGCCACCATGATGATGATGAGAGCGAGAGACACGCAAACTCCAAATGTACAGCAGGCATCAGGGTCGGGATCGAACCCACGACCTCCTGTATACCAGTCGAGGTAGTTAACATCTCCTCGCCACCGACGATGGCGACAGGGTCGTTATAAGAGCTGCGTCGTTGTCGTCCGCGCGATCCCTGCCCAGGATTCCGCTTCGCAAGTTCACGACGATGCGGCACACGATGGCGGCCGCCGGTGGCAAAATCGAGCGGCTTGTGGCTGACGAGCGCCACCTCAAGTACAGCGTGCCGGCCCTGCGCAACGGCACCACGCCTGAGTCCCTCAAGAACTACATGGATGTAAGGGCCATGCCTCCCGCTCACCCCCCAGCCTGTCACCCTGCCCGTCCCTAGCCTGTGACCTCACTCACCCTTACCGTGACCCCACACACCCCTAGCCTGTCACCCTGCCCGTCCCTACCCTGTCACCCCACTGACACTTACCGTGACCCCACACACCCCTACCCTGTGACTCTGCATGTCCCTACCCTGTGAACTCACTCACCCCTACCCTGTCACCCTGCCCATCCCTACCCTGTGACCTCACTCACCCCTACCCTGTGACCCCACACACCCCTACCCTGTGACCTCACTCACCCCTACCCTGTGACCCTGCCCATCCCTACTCTGTGAACTCACTCACCCTTACCGTGACCTCACTCACCCCTACCCTGTCACCCTGCCCATCCCTACCCTGTGACCTCACTCACCCCTACCCTGTGACCCTGCCGATCCCTACCCTGTGAACTCACCCTTACCGTGACCTCACTCACCCCTACCCTGTCACCTTGCCCGTCTCTACCCTATCACCTCACTCACCCCTACCCTGTGACCCTGCCTGTCCCTACCCTGTGACCTCACTCACCCCTACCCTGTCACCTCACTCACCCCTACCCTGTGACCCTGCCTGTCCCTACCCTGTGACCTCACTCACCCCTACCCTGTGACCTCACTCACCCCTACCCTGTCACCCTGCCCGTCCCTACCCTGTGACCTCACTCACCCCTACCCTGTCACTCTGCCCGTCCCTACCCTGTGACCCTGCCCGCCCCTATCCTGTGACCTCACCCCCACCCTGTGACCTCACTCACCCCTACCCTGTCACCCTGCCCGTCCCTACCCTGTGACCTCACTCACCCCTACCCTGTGACCTCACTCACCCCTACCCTGTCACCCTGCCCGTCCCTACCCTGTGACCTCACACACCCCTACCCTGTGACCTCACACACCCCTACCCTGTGACCTCACACACCCCTACCCTGTGACCTCACTCACCCCTACCCTGTGACCCTGCCCGTCCCTACCCTGTGACTCCACACCCCAACCCTGTCACCCTGCCCGCCCCTATCCTGTGACCTCACTCACCCCTACCCTGTCACCCTGCCCGTCCCTACCCTGTGACCTAACACACCCCTACCCTGTGACCTCACTCACCCCTACCCTGTGACCTCACTTACCCCTACCCTGTCACCCTGCCCGTCCCTACCCTGTGACCCCACACCCCAACCCTGTCACCCTGCCCGCCCCTATCCTGTGACCTCACTCACCCCTACCCTGTGACCCTGCCCGTCCCTACCCTGTGACCCCACACACCCCTAGCCTGTCACCTTGCCTGTCCCTACCCTGTGACCTCACACACCCCTACCCTGTCACCCTGCCCGTCCCTACCCTGTGACCTCACTCACCCCTACCCTGTGACCCTGCCTGTCCCTACCCTGTGACCCCACACACCCCTAGCCTGTCACCCTGCCCGCCCCTACCCTGTCATCTCACTCACCCTTACCGTGACCCCACACACCCCTACACTGTGACTCTGCACGTCCCTACCCTGTGACCCTGCCCCTTATCTCACAGATAAGGTAACATTGCGGATAACCCCATGGATAATAGGATCTGTGATATTAGTGCGTTTCCCCCCCCCCCCCCCCCGGCACGCACACAGCACGCACACGGCACACGCACACAGCACGCGCACACAGCACGCACACGGCACACACACGGCACACACACGGCACGCACACGGCACGCACACGGCACGCACACACACGTGTGGTCACTTCATTTTAGTGAAGAGATTGCCTGGGAAAGCAATTTGCTTCTCTTTTACCGCAGCCACCGGACTCTGTGACCTCCCCCCCCCCGGCTGGGTTTATAGAGCCGCTGAGAAGACCGCGCTGTGTGCGCACCTGTTTGCCAGTTGCTGTGCGCAACTAAGATCTCTCCTGGGTTAATGACTCACCAACCATCGGTGTCCTGGGGACTTTGTGTCACAAGGGCGGCCGGTTTTCGAGCCTGCTGCCTTGGTGATTTTACCGTTTACAGGCGCGCACAAGCTGCTGCTGCTGCCGCTGCTGCCGCCGCTGCTGCCGCCGCTGCGAGAACGTGTGAAAGTGTTGGCATGTGTGCCCCCCCCCCCAACCCCCTGAGCATGCAGTAGGGGGGGAATTGCGGGAAATATGCACCATTGCGCCGTACGTCTTAATTCTATCCTCGCGCGTCCACGTTGACCGCCCCTCTTTCGACAACCCGTGCGGGCGAGACAGGGGTCAGGGAACTCCCCCCCCCCTCCCCAACCACTCGTCCTGCAGTGGAGCGACACGGGGCGTCAATGCCTTAGACGCGGGCGGAGTTGACTCGATTTGCGGTCGGTGGGTCCCGGAGAATGGACGGTGCTTCGTGGTGAACGACGGTGGTCACGTGCACGCGTTAGTGTGCCTGCGTGAATTTGTGCACACTGTAAACCCTTGTTAATTCGACACATATGGGGCTCTGGCCTTGCCGAATGATACAATATTCCGAATTGTGTACAATGGTACTCCCTAGTGCCTCCTGCCCCAATACATTTTTTTTTCCAAATTCGTTTTCCCAAACTCTTCACACACATTGACACACACCTTGCATATACATATCGTCTTCATTCAGTGGTCTAATGCATACATTTCAAGGTAGGTCACGTACGGTGTGAAAGAGGTTCAACATGATTTCGATTTAAAGCTCTCGTGACTGCAGGGATTCATCTTCTTGGTTCTTTCGGTAAAGTCACGTAGAAGGGAAGAAATAAAATAATAAAAATAAAACATAAAATAATTCTCACGACGTTTCGGCCACAACGCAAGCAGCCGTCCTCAGGTGGTCCCTCTCTATTACTTCTTGATGTGGGTGTAGACGACATTTCTGCGAGGGTTGGGCTTGCACAGAGTGCACAGACGAGGGAAAGTCCAAAGCGACGGATCTGCACGAACGCTCACCACACGCGACGTCACCGGACTTGGCTCCACGTGCTATGCCGAAATTGGACCGTTCGGTACGGCAAATCGGCTCGTGGCGAATTACTAATACACCGCATATATGCCCAAAGCGCAGCCATGCTGAATTGTCCACAATTACGAACGATCAAATACCGAAATGACGAGCTTTTACTCTATCTGTAATAGGCGTGCAATCGCGCGCGTGTGTGTTTGGTGCGCTGCGAACCCGGCGATCGGAGTTCGGTTCCCGCTCGCGGCCAACAACCGTGGCGCACGTTTGAACCAGTCCTGGGCCTCCCCTGTAAATCGATCCACGTTTTGCGTGTTACCCGAAACGTCCCATAGTTTTCGCTGGCGTTAATGCCCAGCTGAGTTTCGCGAGGAATAATCCGTGGTGCGTCGTCGTCGTCGTCGTCACGGAACGAGATCAACAACATCGGAGCGATCCGTCCAGAGGAACGGGCAGCAGCAGAACAGAACGCGTCGGAGGTGCAGGCAAGGATAGCGCCCACGGGACATTCGTCAACGCAGCCCGATAGGAAGGCGTCGTCTGGCATGTCAACATGCACACTGAGGGAGACAAAGGCGGCCGTGTGCGGCGTTGGCCACACACACCCCCGTCGTGTGCCACGCCGGCCTTCATTGGTGCTCGCTTAACAGGACTTGCCCCAGGACGGTGTTTAAAGGCTACGCGGGGCGGTGGTTGGGTTCTTTGTCTCCGGCGTGGTGCAGGCCCAGTACTACGGCGAGATCGGCATCGGCACTCCGCCGCAGCTCTTCACGGTCATCTTCGATACGGGCTCATCCAACCTGTGGGTGCCGTCCATCCACTGCTCGCTGCTCGACATCGCCTGCTGTGAGTCTCCTACCCACTCCCCGCCCCGCTCGCCCCAATCCCCACTCCACCCCGCGAGGGCGAAACGTTCTTAAGTGGAAACCGCTAGGGGCCGGCTCGTTGGCACGAACCGTGGCTTAAAATAAAAAGAAATGTTTTTGTTGTCATTCGAAAAGCCGTAATACAAAAGCAGATTTTATTTTAAAAATCAACAACAGCAGGTGACGTGTAACAAACTCTGCGCCATACACCCTCAAGATTAACGAGCGATTGGGCGGCTCCATGCTCATGACTTGTGTTATTGTTTATTATTGTTATTGTTTATTATTATTATTACTACTCTATCCGTCGTGAGTCCGCCGCAGCAGGTAAACTCTGTAACGCGAGCCCCGGCTGAGCTTACCGGTCGCGTCACACAGCGTCAGCTCCCAGCGGAGCTGACGGACTGCGAATTGGGCTAGCAAGCGAGTGTGCACGAGTGAGAGAGTGAGAGCGCGAGAGGGTGGGTGTGCGTGAGAGAGTGAGCGAGTGGGTGTGCACGAGTGAATGAGCGAGCGAGTGGGTGTGCACGAGTGAATGAGCGAGCGAGTGGGTGTGCACGAGTGAATGAGCGAGCGAGTGGGTGTGCACGAGTGAATGAGCGAGCGAGTGGGTGTGCACGAGTGAATGAGCGAGCGAGTGGGTGTGCACGAGTGAATGAGCGAGCGAGTGGGTGTGCACGAGTGAATGAGCGAGCGAGTGGGTGTGCACGAGTGAATGAGCGAGCGAGTGGGTGTGCACGAGTGAATGAGCGAGCGAGTGGGTGTGCACGACGTGAATGAAGCGAGCGAGTGGGTGTGCACGAGTGAATGAGCGAGCGAGTGGGTGTGCACGAGTGAATGAGCGAGCGAGTGGGTGTGCACGAGTGAATGAGCGAGCGAGTGGGTGTGCACGAGTGAATGAGCGAGCGAGTGGGTGTGCACGAGTGATGAGCGAGCGAGTGGGTGTGCACGAGTGAATGAGCGAGCGAGTGGGTGTGCACGAGTGAATGAGCGAGCGAGTGGGGTGCACGAGTGAATGAGCGAGCGAGTGGGTGTGCACGAGTGAATGAGCGAGCGAGTGGGTGTGCACGAGTGAATGAGCGAGCGAGTGGGTGTGCACGAGTGATATGAGTTGCCGAGCGAGTGGGTGTGCACGAGTGAATGAGCGAGCGAGTGGGTGTGCACGAGTGAATGAGCGAGCGAGTGGGGTGTGCACGAGTGAATGAGCGAGCGAGTGGGTGGTGCACGAGTGAATGAGCGAGCGAGTGGGTGTGCACGAGTGAATGAGCGAGCGAGTGGGTGTGCACGAGTGAATGAGCGAGCGAGTGGGTGTGCACGAGTGAATGAGCGAGCGAGTGGGTGTGCACGAGTGAATGAGCGAGCGAGTGGGTGTGCACGAGTGAATGAGCGAGCGAGTGGGTGTGCACGAGTGAATGAGCGAGCGAGTGGGTGTGCACGAGTGAATGAGCGAGCGAGTGGGTGTGCACGAGTGAATGAGCGAGCGAGTGGGTGTGCACGAGTGAATGAGCGAGCGAGTGGGTGTGCACGAGTGAATGAGCGAGCGAGTGGGTGTGCACGAGTGAATGAGCGAGCGAGTGGGTGTGCACGAGTGAATGAGCGAGCGAGTGGGTGTGCACGAGTGAATGAGCGAGCGAGTGGGTGTGCACGAGTGAATGAGCGAGCGAGTGGGTGTGCACGAGTGAATGAGCGAGCGAGTGGGTGTGCACGAGTGAATGAGCGAGCGAGTGGGTGTGCACGAGTGAATGAGCGAGCGAGTGGGTGTGCACGAGTGAATGAGCGAGCGAGTGGGTGTGCACGAGTGAATGAGCGAGCGAGTGGGTGTGCACGAGTGAATGAGCGAGCGAGTGGGTGTGCACGAGTGAATGAGCGAGCGAGTGGGTGTGCACGAGTGAATGAGTGGGAGAGAGAGCCGGCACGTGAGTGAGAGAGAGTGGATGTGTGAGTGAGTGAGTGAGCGAGAGAGCGAGTTCACACATGAGTGAGCGAGCGAGAGGGTGGGTGTGCACGAGTGAGAGAGAGTGGATGTGTTAGTGAGTGAGCGAGAGAGCGAGTTCACACGTGTGTGTGAGTGAGCGAGAGGGTGCGTGTGTGAGTGAGTAAGCGAGCGAGAGGGTGGGTGTGCACGAGTGAGAGAGAGAACGAGAGTGGGTGTGTGAACGAGTGAGCGAGAGGGCGTATGCGTGTGCATGCGTCATTGGAGGATGAACCTCCCCCCCCCCCTCCCCCGGGTTGTTGATGAACGTTGTCTTTTGCGTCCGCGTGGCCTCGCCGGTTCCCGGGGCGTGCGCAGTGCTCCACCACAAGTACGACTCCTCCAAGTCGAGCTCGTACGTGAAGGACGGCCGCGACTTCGCCATCCAGTACGGCACGGGCAGCCTGTCGGGGTACCTGAGCCAGGACACCACCACGGTGACTGCCCACCCCCGAATGAACACGATATATACACAATCGCCGAATGATTGCTGTGTGTGTGTTGAACTTCTCTTGCACCGTGCGTAGCCGACCGTGCTAATATATATTATTAGATCACTGAATGAGTGATATGCACGAGATCACTGGATGAAGACGATATGTATATACGTGTACAAGATGACCGAGCATCTCCCTGCGTGCGCTGCTGCTGCTGCTGCAGATCGGAGACCTCTCGGTGAAGAAGCAGGTGTTTGGAGAGGCCATCAAGCAGCCGGGCATCACCTTCATCGCCGCCAAGTTCGACGGAATCCTCGGCATGGCCTACCCCTCCATCGCCGTCGACAAGGTCACCCCGGTCTTCGACAGCATCATCGCCCAGAAGTTGGTCGACAAGAACGTCTTCTCCTTCTACCTCAACAGGTGCGAGCCGGCGAGCCCGCCGCGGGAGTTGCCCGCGACAGCTACCCATTATCTTCTTGGTTCTTTCGGTAAAGTCACGTAGAAGGGAAATAATAAAATAAATAAAATAAAACATAATAAAATAATTCTCGACAGACCTGTTCTCCACCTGAAGACGGCTGCCTGCGTTGTGGCCGAAACGTCGTGAGAATTATTTTATTGTGTTTTATTTTTATTATTTTATTATTTTCCTTCTACGTGACTTTACCGAAAGAACCAAGAAGATGAATCCCTGCAGTCACAAAAGCTTTAAATCGAAAAGCTACCCGTTACCCAGGTTACACCCAGCTAGGAGACTGGGAGTGGATCTCAGGAGTTAACTTCAGGCCACTGTGTGCGTGTGATTATCTGCCGTGCAAGGGGGTATGTGTGTGTGTGCGTGGGGAGCGGTGGTGTAGCGGTTAGCGCGCTGCGCTACAAACCCGACGACACGGGTTCGATTCCCGCTCACGGCCAACATCGGTGACGATTATCTGAACCGGTCCTGGGCCTCCCCTAGGTCGACTCAGCCTCAAATGAGTACCTGGTGCGGTGTGCCACTGGGGAGACAAAGACGGTCGGGCGTGGTGCTGGCCACCCACCCCCTTATGTACTGTTCTGGCCTTCATAGGTGCTCGCTAACAGCATTTGCCCCTACAGTCTGTTAAGGCTATACGGGGGATCTTTATCTTTGTCGTTCAAACGCCAGCCTTGCTAAGTCACGAGCGCACTCGCAGGAACCAAACGTGACGTCCGTGTGAGATGCCGAAGGGATTGCAGACTCGTGACCCAAGAAAGGTCACCGTGAGAATTTGCTTGCATGCAGTGGCACGTGACCCTTTGAATGATGTCACCGCATCTCCAAGATGTTAACTACTTCGCCTGGTATACAAGAGGTCATGGTTTCGATCCCGACCCTGACGCCTCCTATATTTGGAGTTTGCATGTTTCTCCCCGTGGTCACGTGGATCTGTCTCCCGGGTCGTCCGGTTTTTCCCTCCACATTTAAAATCAACAACATCACGCGTTTAGAGTTTGGCCGCTGCTATAAATTTCCTCACGATGAGCCGCTTCATCGAGCTCTCGTTGGCGATGGCCAGGTCGCTTCTGAGTAAGAGCTGAACAGCTCGGTGAGTTTTCCCCGGTAAGATAAGAAAAAAATTGTTACGAAGTTTTAGTTTCAGTGGCGGTGTTGTCACAGTTATACAGATTTCGATTTAAAGCTTTCGTGACTGCAGGGATTCATCTTCGCCTGAGGACGGCTGCTTGCGTTGTGGCCGAAACGTCGTGAGAATTATTTGATAATGTTTTATTTTAATTATTTTATTATTTCCATTCTACGCGACTTTACCGAAAGAACCAAGAAGACAGTTACATAGCTCAGTGGGCCTTACCTGCTAAAATGTAAAATAAAAATAGTGAGTCCAACGTCCACTGCGAAGCAGACGTGCGTGCGTGCGTGCCCGCGCGTTACGGATAAAACACACCCGCGGTATTAACCAGGGCCGCCTGCCGGATTCGAACCTGCAAGATTGCTTGGTAAGCCCCCCCGACCCCCCCCCCCCCCCCACCCCGTGACCATTGCAGGGACCCGCAGGCCCCGTTGGGTGGGGAGCTGATGTTGGGCGGCACCGACCCCAAGTACTACAAAGGGGAGCTGTCGTACGTGCCCGTCACGCGCCAGGCCTACTGGCAGATCCAGATGGACGGGTGAGTGCCAGCGCCTGTTCGATGACTTGCATCCCCACTGGGGTTTTTGCACACAGCGTTGGTGTGCGGTGATTTTTTTCTGGAATTTTTGCCGTGTTTTTTATTCTTCCTGGATTTTCAGATTGCACATAGTCACTTTAAGATGTTTTCTTGTCCATGTTTTAGTTTTTTGTTGCGGTTGCAACCGATTCAAGAGCCGAATGGCTCACAGGGCTATACCTAATAAATGAACTTAAACTTGAACTTGGCATCATAGTCCCCAGGCTGGTCGCCATTTACCGCGGTAAAAAAAAAAATTGTCGAGCAAAAGAACGATGCCTCTTTGGAGGAATTGTAACGGGGGAAACGTACATTACGGACACCCATGCCTCGGCGAACTTCTGTAACTTCGCAAGAGCCCCTTGGAGCAACACAAGTGGTTCAGCTGGTTGTCCTTACCACACCCGCACCTCCGATTAGCACGGTTGGCCACGTACGGCGCGAAAGAAGTTTGAACGCACGCGCGTTGATAATGTCGACGATACGAGCAACGGCCCCGCTGGGGGGTGGGGGGGCGTGGGCCCCCCAGAATCTTTGTAAACCCCCGGGGGTGGCGTCGCACCGCAGGCTGAACGTGGAGGGCGGCCTGGCGCTGTGCAGCGGAGGCTGTGCGGCCATCGTGGACACGGGCACCTCGCTCATCGCCGGCCCCACCAAGGAGGTGGAGGCACTGCAGAAGGCCATCGGCGCCGTGCCGCTCGTGATGGGAGAGGTGGGTCACCCGCGCTGACCCCTGACCCCTGCCGCCACCCACCCCCCCCGGCCCGACATCACGCTCCTCGCACCGACGCTCCGCCCCACCTGCTGGGAGTTTAGTTCGTCGACCCGAGTCGGCGATTCTCGCTGCGCGCTTCAGGTGCGGTCGCACCGCAGGGATGCCAAGTCGCAGTGAGGTGCACGTGTAGGTCGCAGGTCGAGAGCGCCGTGGCCGGTACCGTTTGAGGGCCTGGGTTCGAATCTGGGCGGCGACCCCGTGATGGAACCGTGTCCGCGTGTAGACGAGTTTGACGGTCTTGCTTTCATGCGTAGCACAAACACTCACCCCCCCCCCCCCCCCCGTCTTATTACATTTGGTTTTTCATTTACAGCTCTTGAGGATCAAAAGCACCAGGTTTAACGGACACGCAACAAACAATACTCTCAAGTGGCGGGGCGGGTGGTTAAATGCTGTCTTCTAACGTGTGGCCCATAGGACACTCGGAAGTAGCTCCGTGGTGTTCGCTTCCGGGACACACACACACCATTCCGCAACGTGGATTGTCTTGCTGCGTCTCGCGACATGATGCTCGTACCACAAACCGCGATGAAGTCACGTAGGCAGATGAACCCTGTTCGTTCAACCCAGTTGGACGATTACTCCTTACTGACTGCGAGGCCGGTGGCTGAGTCTGAAGATTTGTTTTACGAAGAGTCCAGTTTGCGCAAATGTGACGGGGCAGCATCACCAGACGTTGATCGCTGGTCATCTGCAATATGGACGTGGGCTGTCTGCGCGTCTCCCCCCCCCACCCCCCACCCCCCCCTGCAGTACATGATCAACTGCGACAAGGTCCCCACTCTGCCCGTCGTCGTCCTGACCATCGGCGGCAAGAAGTACAGCCTGACGGGCGAGCAGTACGTCATGAAGGTGAGCGAGCGCGCGCGCCGCCGGGCGCGGGGAGGGTTTCCCCGATGGCCAGCGTCGGGAGCGGTTGAATCGGACGGGGGGCAATATTTTCTCGGGGCATGCAAAGAAGCGTACGCACCCAAGTGCGGATGATCAGAAGGACAATCCGTAACGCGCGCAACACTTGACGAATGATACGGCGACGCACAATCGAGGGGGGGAGGGAGGGGGGGCGTGGAGCCGAAGTTTAAAAGTCCCTCTCGTGGAGACTCCTTGCCGGCGTAGAGCAAATTGCAGGGCTGCACATTTCATCATCAGGGGTAGCCCTATCGGTGTCCACTCCACGTGTTGTAATTTGTTTCCACTTTCCTCTCATGTCTTTTGCCAATATGCTCAAGTAGTGGCACCACCTTTTTGGCACCAATTCTTGGAAACTAAAACTGAACAATTTTTTCTTATTTATTTTACCAGGTAAGGCCCCACTGAGCGATATAGTAGCTATTTTTCAGGAGTGGCCACAAATGATGGCATAACTAAGTAGAAATTTCTAGCAGTAGCCAAATACTCTAAAACACGTGATGTTGATTCTAAATGTGGAGGGAAAAACCGGAGGACCCGGAGATAAAATGCACGAGACCACGGGGGGGGGGGGGGGAGACACGCAAGCTACAAATACACAGCAGCAGCAGGCGTCAGGGTCGGGATCGAACCCACGACCTCCTGCATACCAGGCGAGGTAGTTAACACGAGGTGAACCAGGCGGGCCTTTAACCCCCCCCCCCTTCTACCTGACCCCCCCTTCCCCGGCGTGCCCCCAGAGGTCGCACACAGGTACCTGTACCCTACCCGATACCCGGCTACCCGTACCCGGCCGGGTATCGGGTAGCAGAGTATGGGTACGGGTACCCGATTGCGACCTCTGGGATGAAGCCACGTTGCAGGCGCGAGTGGGTTGATTCTAGGAACTTGAAATTGTGAGAAGAGACCAGACGTTGGGAAATGAGTGACAAACAGTTACTCACCATCTTCTTGGTTTTTTCGGTAAAGTCACGTAGAAGGGAAGTAATAAAATAATAAAAATAAAACATAATAAAATGATTCTCACGACATTTAGGCTACAATGCAAGCAGCCGTCTTCTTCAGCTGAAGACGGCTGCTTGCGTTGTAGCCGAAACGTCGTGAGAATTGTATTTTATTATGTTTTATTTTTATTATTTTATTACTTCCCTTCTTCGTGACTTTACCGAAAAAACCAAGAAGATGAATCCCTGCAGTCACGAAAGCTTTAAATCGAAAGTTACTCACCAGTGACTCACGGCCGACCCGTACCCGGCCGCACCAGGGTCGCAAACGGCTACCCGTACCCGGCCGGGTACGGGTAGCCGGGTATCGGGTAGGGTACGGGGATCGGGTACCCGGTTGCAACATCTGGCACGTGCCCTTCTCCCGCAGGTGAGCCAGGCAGGCCAGACCGTGTGCCTGAGCGGCTTCATCGGCATGGACATCCCCCCGCCGGCGGGCCCGCTCTGGATCCTGGGCGACGTGTTCATCGGGCCCTACTACACCGTCTTCGACCGCGACAACAACCGCGTGGGTTTCGCCCAGGCCGTGTGACCGAGCAGAGGCCTCTACCCCCTCCCCCTCCAAGTCTCCAACCTACTCGCCCCCTCCCTGCCCCCCCCGCCTGTCCGGCGACATGACTTGACCCCCCTGGGTGGCAGTGCGATATTTATCTCGGATTTCGTTCCGCAATGACGTACCGACGTGTACCGTAGTTGTACTTGAGAACGCAAAAAAGAAATCTCGTAGCGTGATAGCGTACTGCCCCACTACTTGCTTGACCCTGTGGCATTACATTTTGGGATTATCAGGTAGTCTCTCCCTGCCCCTCGCCCCCCGTGCTCATAATTCCACAATTTTGAGATTAACCGGATGTTATAACAAACGTCCGCGTCATAATTAAAAAAAAATCTTACCTGGCAGATTTTTGTTCGTTTAATTTAGGTTGTCACAAAGAAAATCCTGGCAAAATCCTGAGATTCGCCAGAATAAAACTGCTCAAAAATGACGAAACATTTCGCTCGGCCAGCTTACCTTTTTCTCGACGTGAACGAACCGCGGGCGTGTTTGCGCGTTTGCGTGTTTGCGTGTTTGCGTGTTGGCGTGTTTGTGTGTTTGCGTGCGTTCTCCGATTCGGGCTCCACCGTGGCCTCCAGCCGCCCTTCACACCTCTTGGTTGGCCACGGGGACGATGCCAAGGGGCGATGGCGAGTGGGAAAAGGTGGAGGGGGGGGCAGAAGGGAAAATCGGCCCCAATTTGGTTCCTGTCGCGCTTTCCACCGCTTCTGGACGAAACGCAACTTTGTCTTTCACGCGTGCGGTATTTCCATTGCCGCAAATGTTGGCTCTACGTCTGTCGCTCTTAACTTGGGGGTCCATCACGCCCCACCCCCCCTGGGGCTGTGGTGAGTCGCCCTTCCTGGGCGTGCGAGACACGGTTAGATTTTTTTTTTAGAAGGGAAATCAAAGAAACACACAAATTATGCACAGGCAATGTAAGTTGGAACTTACTTTGTTAATAAAAACGTAGGGGTTTGATGAAACATTGTGCATGTTTTTAGCGATTGAGAACCAAAGGGGGGGGTGCAAGGCTGCGGCAAAGGTTAAGAACCGCTGATCGAAGTCGTCGGTAAGCTGTCGGTCGGAGAAAGTAAAACTTCCAGAGCGCGCGTGCCCCTTGACCGAATAATTTTGGAAAAAAGTTTCGTGTTGCGGTTTCAAACGTGCGGGGAAAGGCAGCCCAGTGAACAAGTTGAATGAACAAAAAATAAAATACTCCGGCAACAATCGCTCCGGTTACCCAGTGTGTAACGCCCTTGGTTCGCGAGCACAGCACGCGCCAATTCTTGTTCAGCGGCTCGTTGCACCAAAGGCCTTGAGTCAAAGTGCCTCTCGGTTCCGAGCTCCGGGACTTGACTTCAAGGCCACCGCTCGGATTTTCAAGTACGATGATGAATTGGCGCAAGACGGCTTGGGCGTGTCCTGGACTCGACGCAAAACCCAGCGGCTGTCGCCTCAAGGTTTTGCCAGAGATGGAGCGAATAGCAATTTGAGCTCTCTCCCTCTCCCCCGCCAGAGCATGACAGATTAAAACAATTAAAACAGTCTAGCAAGACTTCAAACTTGGCAGGCCGAGACACCCTTCAGTGTCGCAATCCGTGCGCTGTTCCTCACTGACCTGCCGCAAAGTGCTCCTTGATTGCACGGCGCTCTGTGACGCTGATTTTGGGGGTGGGAAACCTGCAATCTGCTCTACTTCCTCTTGGTCCCGCGAACGTTTGTGACGGCGATGTGATTTGACACGCTGCCCCACCCCCATCTAGCTCAAGACCTGAACTGCCCTTTGCACTACCGCGTTTTCTTTTTCTTGTTAAATGTTTTCGTTTACTACGGTAACCATTGCTCAAATCGGCAGTGGTTTTGCCGTGCTTTGGGACATTTTTGAAGCGAGCTGCCCATTGCACCCGCGGTTAAAACCTGCACGTTCATTTTTCTGAGCTTGTGAATCAAAGGCAACGTTTCCAGTGATGGCATCTGGCGCCTGGAAGAGGCCACATTGGGTGTTTGTTTTTTTTCAAGTGGCGGTTGGACTGATCCCCCGCCGTCTTCTCCAACACGACGTAAGAGATACACAAACTACAAGTCTCGTGGCTCCGTTCGGCGATACGTGCCACTGCATCTTGGCGATGCCACAAATTACCTTGGGAGCGTTTCGCGGGATGGTAATTCCCGTTTTGACGATGGCAAGCTTGGCACGGCGAGAATTTAACAACTGGGAGGTGCCTCTGCCCCAGGATACGTGTTTCCACGTGGGGAGCTACAGTCGCTAAAGAAGCCGTCGCCAACGCATTTGAAATCCTAGTGACTTGCTGCTTTTGCGATTCTGCCTTGACGGCAGTGCGTGCGCGTGTTGAATTTCTATCGTTGCCGTAAGTCACGTTGGGCCCCCCCCCTCCGCTCGCTTAATTTGTAGTGGAACGACATGCCGGAGGGCCGCCACCTTGTGCTGATGCTGCTGCTTCACTCTGTTACGTGTGTGTGGGCCAGCCTTGATTCCTGGACACACCAATACGTGGTGGCTGGCTAAATTGAACCCTTTAGTCAATTGGTTTTTTGTTTACCCCCGCGCCCTGCCGCCTTTGATTTACTTGGATGGGGAGGCAAGGATGTAATTTTGAAGGCTAGTTGAGAATAAAAAAAAATGCAGATTCAGAATGTTTGTAGTCTTAAACATTTGCGCGTTGCTTTGAATAAAGGTGTAAATGGAACGAGATATTTTTCACGCGTCTGCTGCTTTTCGTTTGGGAGTGCCCGTGACGGTGTGAATGCAAATGGAGATGGAGGCGACGGGCGGCATTCGAGTTGTAAATGCACGTCGTCAAACGGTGCGCCGAGAAATCAACGCCACAGAGGGTTGGGTGGGGGGGGGTCTGGTAAATCGGCCATGGTACGTACGTTGGAAAATCTTTCTTTCTGAAGTAGCCCACCGTGCTGAAATCGGAGGTGCGGGGGGGGGGGGTAAGACAACCTAAACAAGCAATTCCAAAGAAGAATGAGTCCATCCAGATGACTTTAAAGTGCCCAGCTCCAGTGGCTTCCTAATATGGGAAGGGAAGAGCATCCCAGGCAGCCGCAGAAGTGCATCCGAAAGGGCGCGATTCAGTGACCGTCTTTGTTCGAACGGTGATCCACAATTTTCGCTGTGGTGCACTTCTCTTCATCCCGCTATCTGGAGACATTTTCTTGAGTGGATGCGAGTTGGGCAAACACATTTATTAAAAAGTCTATTTAATTAACACTGACACCTTTTTTACAAGGAGTCATGTTTGCATAGACCACAATACCTGCAGTCATAATGGTCCAACCCATGTGAGACTAGGCTCTAAGGAAAGCTGTCTCGGGTGTGGACCAATCAACTTCAAGGACAGTGCATACATTATCAGAGTTATGTTTTTTGTTTGCATTATGACTGCAAGTATTGTGGTCTATGCAAACATGACTCCTTGTAAAAAATTAACCCGTAAAAACAAAGTTTTTCACTCTAAATCCTTTATATGCGTGGCGGCTAGAGTCCTCTTGTCCTCTGGCTTGAGATGGCTGCCACCTATGGGTCAGATGATTGTCTGCAGTATTAAGCAATTGGTAATTACATATTTAATTTGTTTTCCCGAAACAGTGTAAAATTTTGGAAAAATTTTCACGAACATTGTCTCGCACAACGAGTCTGTGTGCAAAATGTCAGCTCGATTGGATCACGGGAAGTGGGTTAAAAAACGACCGAAAGGTTTGCACGGTCCTAAGCAAGCAAGCGAACTTAATATAAAGGATTTAAAAAGGTGTCAGTTTTGTTGCCAGATAGAAGGGTAAAAAAAAACAATTATCCCGTGGACGAGCCGCAAGAAACCAGCCGCGGTGCGATCTGTAATAAAATAGTTTTTTATTTAAAATCTGTATGTATAGCAATTATGTACACGATTGTTTTCTCTCTCTCTTACATTGTCGACGCAAACTCCGAACGCGGAACGCGGACGCTTTCACCGATAAGACATCACCAGCGCGAGGGCCGCCACACATTTAAAACCATCGTTGGGTTTGTAACAGCAGCACCATGATGATGATGACCATGTTGGGGCGGGGGGGGGGTGTTTTCACATGTTTGTATTGTTAGCGAGAAGGCCGCAGCTCCTTGCAATGTAGAGATCACCGCACCAGAGACTCCGACACAGCCCGACTCGAAACCGCCGCCACTAATTCCACGCCTCCCCGCCAACACCGCCAACATCTGTTCTGGGTTCCGCGGTGGCTGGGCTCGAGTTTCATTTTCTTATCGGAGCCATGGCCACCGTCCTCCTCTCACTCACTCACGTCTGTCCCGATCGCCTCCGTTCCAGCACAGAGGAGGGTGGGTGGCACGGGGCGAGGGAGGTCACCCTGGATTCGCGTTGACATCTTGGTCGGGTGGACAGCTACCGTGACCCCATTGTCTGGGTTTGTCCTTCACCCACCCAGCAGAGGATTGATGAAAAGGGCTGTGATTTATTACTGAAAAATGGCCATTGCCTTAAATACAATTCGTAACTGTTTTTTTCGCGTTCAGTTTGTTATACCCCCCCCCACGCACCTCCTATTATCACGGTTGGCTACGTACGGAGCGAAAAAAGTTCAACACACGCACTTAAGACGTTCAACATACGCACTTGCAAAACTCTTTGAGTAAGTTCTCGCACCGGCGCTTTAACGGAGATGTTTGACGACCAATAAACGTGCTTTCGTGTGCTCGGCAAGGCTGAGAACTTGACATTTATGGTTGCAGTAAGCAGCGGCATTCGCGGGGTGGTGGCCTACTGCTTGCCATATACAATATTTAGCCCCCCCCCTCTCTCACAATCCCACTGGTCAATGGTGTCAACGTCAGACAGCACTTCCCCAAAAAGCCAAACCTGCCGAGACGAGATAACGCTCCGGACGTAGCCACACACTGCCTAACTATGCATGATGTACGCCGACAAAGACCCCCGTATAGCCTGAACAGATTGTTGGAGCAACAAAACGCCCGGTCGCCTTTGTCTCCCCAGTGGCGATGTTTATACACCGCACCAGGTACTCATCTGAGGCTGAGTCGACCTAGCGGAGGCCCAGGACCGGTTCAGATAATCGTCACCGGCGTTGGCCGCGAGCGGGAATCGAACCCGGATCGCCGGGTTCATAGCGCAGCGCGCTAACCGCTACACCACCGCTCCCCACTACACTGTGCATGATAGACACACACACGCGCAATATTATACAACATAAAACACACCGTCCGTCGCGCTCACCCCACAGCCCCCCTGTAACAGGAAAATTAAATATAAAACAATGATGTTTGGGGGGCGAGAGTCCAAGAGTTCTTCAGAACAGAGCACAAGATGAACTGCTCGCACACACGCACACACACGCACGCACACACACACACGCGGTGTCGTATCGTATTCTGGAGCAAGGCGACTTGAGCAGCGATGCGCCCGATCTGTCGACGCCGAACCTTTCGCCATTTAACGTCGTACAATCGTGTTCTCGTTGCGTTGTCAATGTCGCACGGAGCATATGAACATCGTTCCAAGCTGGCGGGAGGATGGGAGGGGACACACACACACAGACACATACCCACTTCAACTGGCCCAGAGCCGAGCGACTGTGCCGTAACACTGAACATCAGCGCCGGCACTTTGTTAAGGAGACCTCCGGTTGGCAGGGTTGGCTACGTACGGCGCGAAAGAAGTTCAACATACACGGTTGGACCCGAAGATTCGCACGGCCAACGCAAGCTACATCTGTACATGTACAGGGTGCTTCAAAAAAATGTTAACACTTATTATGGGACTATCGTTTTTAATGGAAATAATAAATGTTTATGTTAATAGCTTCAAAAAGTCAAAGAGTCTCTACTTGTTCGCCATCGTTGTCAACGCGTGCCTGGAATCTTCTCCAGGTGGTCTCCAGAGCCAGGAGGCAGCACATTTCTTGTGGCGTTGTTGCAAATTTCTCAGGAGTGTTCACATTTTTCTGAATCACCCTGCAATATCCAACCTCCAGTAGGGGTCCTTCTTCCGAAACGAAGACGGATGTCCATTCATCCCCGAACGCGCGACCTCTTGCGGCGACAGCGTTTCGTATACGAACCAGCAGCCCGTGCTGCCGTACACCTGCGTCGAGCGATTTGTTCGTTCTTGATTTGACGCTTTCGTGACTGCAGGAATCCATCCTCTCTCTGGTTCTTTCGCTAAAGTAATTGCTCATTTCTCCAGCCCCACCCGTCCCCTGCACGCCACAAACCCTCCCCCCCCTCCTCTCCCCTGTGAACTCCTGCAGCCAAACTAAATATCCACCCCCTTCCCTCCCCCTCCCGTGCCTATATAAAGCCACAACAGCAGATCAGTTGTTTTTCTCACCTTAAGACTGACGCTTGTGTTGCGACCGAAAGGTGTTTTTTTTAATCCTTTATATTAAGTTCGCTTGCTTGCTTAGGACCGGGCAAATCTTTCGGTCGTTTTTTAACCCACTTCCCGTGATCCAATCGAGCTTGACATTTTGCACACAGACTCGTGCGTGACAATTAATGTTCATGAAAATTTTTGTTCCAAAATTTTACACTTTTTACGACAAAAATATTATATTTAATTACCAATTGCTTAATGGTGCAATGCAATCATCTGACCCATAGGTGGCAGCCATCTCAAGCCAGAGGACGAGAGGACTCTAGCCGCCACGCATATAAAGGATTTATAGGGAAAAACTTTGTTTTTACGGGTTATACTTGTTTAAAATCCTTTATATTAAGTTCACTTGCTTGCTTAGGACCGTGCAAATCTTTCGGTCGTTTTTTAACCCACTTTCCGTGATCCAATCGAGCTGACATTTTCCACACAGACTCGTGCGTGACAATTAATGTTCGTGAAAAAAAAATTCCAAAATTTTACACTTTTTAGGACAAAAATATTATATTTAATTACCAATTGCTTAATGGTGCAATGCAATCATCTGACCCATAGGTGGCAGCCATCTCAAGCCAGAGGACGAGAGGACTCTAGCCGCCACGCATATAAAGGATTTATAGTGAAAAACTTTGTTTTTACGGGTTATACTTATTTTCTATCTACGTGACTTTACCGATAGAACCAGAGAATATGATTTGTTTGATCTCCGCGGATCATGAGGGTGACCCCATTCCTGCGAGGGTCCGCCGCGCTCCGCTTCGAACGTAGACCCCCCCCCCCGACCGGGGTGCGCAACTCGCCGCAGGAGTTCGCTAGTCGAGACGGGGGGTGGGTGGGGGGGGGGCTGGACGATGAGTCCCAAAATAATTAAAAAAATAAGAGACGGATATCCGAGACGTTTAAATGCGGCCGCCAAGAAAAAAGCTCGGCAGCCAATCGTCCCCCGCATCAGATCCGTGGTGTGACGCAAACGGAAGCGTCGGAAACGTCACAATGACGACGACAAAAAAAATCTGACATCGTTTACAAACAAATATGGCCGTGCTGTCCACAACAGCAGCGCTCTCCCATGGGATAGTCCACAAATACTGCTGCTCCTTCGCGCCCCCCCCCCCCCCCCACGGCTGCCCCTCTCTCCGCATTGGGGCTCAAAGTTGCCACGCGGGACAGCGATCGACCAACTAGCGGGCGTCTCAACGTTGCCACTTGAACGACGTAGTTAGAAAGCGTCGGCGGGCCGCCGCCACGCCGCCGCTTCCTTCCTTCTGCCCGATCCCACACAAGAGGTTGAAGGGTCGACATCTGACCTTCGAGGACTGCCCTTGCAGCATCCCATCGTCTGGCGTTAGGGTCTTGTAAGAATAATAATGAACCCTTTGTTGAGAACCCTTCCGCGCTCACATGCGTACGGGAGTCGGCGTGCAAGAGGGACGTTCGCTGGAGTGTACCTCGCTCGCTGCTGGACAGAGGAAATGTTAGGACCGACCCCAAAACCGCTGCTTTGCGAGTGGCAATAACACAGAGATGATGTACTCTAACTCCCCTCTAGCCGACCGTTGACAAAGACGCCGACATCCGCCGGTGATGGCCGGGCACGCGAACTTAAGACGCGCGGTAATTTTTGTTCCCGCCCTGCCGAGTTACTTTTCCACGCATCCTCGGTTGACGAGCATTAACTTTGGTTTTTAGCGGTTTCGAGATGCTCATTTAAAAGTTGCGAAAGTCACAACGGTTCAGGCAAATGCAGCGGGGAGCACGAAGGCATCGAAGACTCGCCCGCGCGCGAGGCAACGAGGCAGAAAAACACGGCGAGAGTGGTGAACAATACTCTTAGTTTGTTCGGTAAAGTCACGTAGGTAAAAAAAATCATACAGCAAATCTGGCTGTGACGGTCCCACCTGATGACGGAGACTTGCGTTGCCTCCGAAACGTCGTGATTTATTATTTTTTATTTTATTAATTTTAATTTCATTTTTTTACCTACGTGACTTTACCTTGCAGTCACGAAAGCTTCAAATCTAGAAGTGATAAACAATCTCCGCTGAGTCTAACGCCCCCCCCGCCCGCCCGCCCATTCGTTCGTTTAACAACAAAAAAACACGAGGATTGCAGGAAAGCGGCAAGAGTTGAAACGCAACTCCGTCGAAAGAGCAACGCGTTATTATTATTGGCACCTTTTACGAGAGAATATCTAGCGGGTAAGTGCATTTGGCAAAGGGGCTTTGTAGCTTACTTGATGAGCTTTAGAGAGACGGCGAGTGACAGACGAGGGGAGGGAAGTACGTGGCAATATAAAGTACGAGTGACGAATCGGCACGGTCTGTTTACGTGACAAAACTTACGAACTGGCTGCGTCGGGTGGTGGCGGGTTTAACGACACATTTATATATATTTACGCGATCTAACCCAGAAAAAAAACCTACATTAAATTTCGCGAAAATATACACAAACACGTTAAGGTTTGAGTCGAGAATTCTCTTTAGGTTAAATGTTCACAAACAGTTTGAGGGCGACGGGAATGGATTTTCCAAATGACAGCTGCCATCAAATTTGTGCCACCGCTTGATTGTTTTAAATTGCGGTTAATCCAAAAATAACCGTTTTTTGCGGATTTCGAGGCCAAAAAACACTAATGTTGGTTTAAATTATTTTTTAGTTAAGAAAACTAAGCTCGTCAATGAACAAAACGAATACTAACGATAAACACTTTCCTGCTCCCGCGCAGAAGACTCGACCAACCAAGTGGATGACAGCAGAGCGACGCCAATCAACATCAATCAAAATCCGCCCAACGTCGTAAAGATATGGCAACTACTGTACTGTAGAGGCGATCGCATGGATTTCGGATTAACCGGAGCAACGTACCGTGTTCGGTTTAAGCACGCGACTTGTCATGAACATTTCCAAGAGAAGCAATGATGTTCAACCGTTTTTAGATGATTCATTTGGGCTTAAGGGAAAATCCGCAAGTCACGAATTTACGTCAAAGTCTCCGCAAATCGGATAAACCGCACGCGGTTAATCGAGAGACTACTATACCGGAGTTTTTTTCCGCAACATACGCAACCGACCGTGCTAATCGCAGGTGGGGGGGGGGGGGGGGGACACACACACCCCGCGCCACAAAATGCGTTGAGCAGAAATGCAACCACCACTGTGTGCAGCCTGGATGTTGACAGTGGTAAGGTGCCGCTACGGGCAAGCCAGATTTGTTTGGGTGGAATGCCATCGGGCATCAAGGGGGCATGCCAATGGCGAGGCATAACGCCGAATTTACGGTGGCGCCACGCAAATTCAAGTAGATTATTATAGATATTTTTTTCTCTCTCTCGCTCTCCAAAAGGTGTGATTTTCTTACAATCGACGCGTGCTGGAAACCGTTTCTCGACGGGATGAACGAGGCCCTCGGCCTTTGCTCAGCCTGCGTACGCATCGTCACGCGTTATCACGGACTGTGCTCTACCCTCCCGTGTTGTATACCATCACACGGTTGTTGTTCAGGAAACGCGACTACTACCGCCACGTTCTAGAACAGACCGCGTACGTTCCACACCGGTTCGGATTTGACGAAACGAACCTGCAAGCGATGTCGCTGACCTTCTGACCTTCTGCCCCTTCACACCACCGAAAGGATCTCCCCCCCCACCCCCACCTCCGTGTCGCCAGCAACAACGAAGGCTGCGGCCATGCCATGTGCGCGGACCGGAGTGCTTTCGTACTTGCTTGAACAAATCATTGCCAATGTTCGACGATTGCCGGCAGGTTGCTCGGTTGGGGTCACACATGGCAATCATCACCCGCTCCCCCCCCTGCCCCCCCCTATTTGGCAACAGAAGAATGCCCCTCCAGGGGTCACCGTTGTAAATGAGCCACTCGTTCTCCCCCTCTGTCTCACCGAGTTGAAACGAAAAAAACATTAACTTGGACATTAGGCGAGAGGATATCGGTTCAAAATCACCGCAGGTAAACAAACCCCTCTTCTCTCCCCCTTCCCACGTCGCGTGTTCATCACATGTTCATCACATGTTCATCACGCGCTCGTCGCTGCCCTCTCTCAGCCGAGTTGGCCCAGGTCGCCACCCAAACGGAGATTTTCTTTGCTCAATGGACCCCACCTCAAAGTGGCACCCTCAAAAAGGGAGGGGGTGAGGTGGGGTTTGAACCTCATAACTTTGCATCGAGTTGCAAGAAACTCGCTTTTCGGAAAGCAACACGCCACGATGAAACACACGACGTGCCAATCGTGCATCAAACGTCACGCAACGCGGGATAATAACACGGCACCACGGTTTCATTCAACAGCACGTGACCTCGCTAAAACGCGCGCGCGCACACACAGTGTTTTACAATACACGCACGGCGCACGGCACGGGTCGTGCTCTCGTACGCTACGCACGAAGGGAGTTGAGAGGGTGACGCCCTGGCCCGCTAACTGGCCACTCATCGGTACTTAAAATGGATAATGAATGCGACACCCGCGCCGCGAAAGAGGTGAACGTCTCATTCAGCAGCCGTTTTTTTTGTCTCGGGTGACGGACGACACGGCAACCAGCAACAACCCACCACGTGTTGGCTGGCAGAGCTGAGAGAGAGCAACAGAGAGAGCAAGAGAGAGAGAGAGAGAGCGAAAGTCCGCAAACCTGAACCGGGCGTCCCAAAACGCCGCCCCCGTCACCGTCACGGTCAGTAGAGGAGAGCAAAGGGCAACTGGCAGATCGGTGACTCACGAGAGGCTAAACGAAAGCCGTCTGGCCACCGTTATTTACTGCCCTCAAAATAAACGTTTCGCTTTAAACGTTCACGGGAGTAAAAAAAAAAAAAATACTTTTTGTCATTGCACAGTGAGGATTTCTTCCAAATGAACAAGTCGGTCAGAATTCCTCGTCAAATGTTTGGGGGGGGGGGGGGGGGGGCGCTCATCCCATACGTTAATCCACGGTCTCGCAAACTTAGAGAGAGAGAGCTGGCCGCTAAACCTCAGGTGTGGTGCAATAACCCCGCAAAAAAACACGACCGGCAAAAGCAAGAACACCTGTTAAGCGCGACGAACAAAAGTCGCTAAGGAATCCGCGTGGGTTCGCAGAGTCATCAGTATGCGGAATCGGTACCAGATCCCACTACGGAGCACGTGGGATTGCACGCAGGATGGCACGTGGGATGGTTTGGTATTAAAGAAAAAAGGATGTTCACGGCAGCTCTGTAATGTTCTAACAAGCTAAAACCTCGTAACCGTGGCGAAATCGCTTGCCATTCTTGCCGCAACATTTACTGCTAAAGGGGCCAACTCAATTTAGCCAACCGGAAGCCACCTAACCAAACGGCGAGAAATTAAAAGCAGCCGCCACCGGATTGGATAACTCGGCAGCCAGCATCTCTCTTAAGCGGCACGTGGCAAGCTGCAACGAGGCCATTCGCAGCTCACGGCCACACGAACCAGACTCGCACGACCACACAGCGGACACTCGGCCAGCCGGCAAACCTTCCCCACACGAAGACACACACGGTGGCGTGACGTCAGCTGCCTCGCCTAGCGTGCAGGGGCACCGTGGGTTCGATCCTGCCTGTGCACGTTCTCCCCGTGGTCGCGTGGATTTTTCTCCGGGCCCTCCAGCTTTTCCGTCCGCATTTAGAACCAACGCGCATTCAAGAGTACTTGGCCGCTATAAAGTTCCACGCGACGATGAGCCATTTCTCGTCGGGCTGTCTTTGTGGCAAGCCAGGACGACGTTTCTGAAAAAGCAGCTACTTTATAGCTCAGTGGGGGGGGGGCCTTAGCTGGTAAAACAAAACATAATAATTTTACTTTTTAGTTCACACACACAACTAGCCAAGGCGCACGCGCACCACTCGCCAACTCAGTTCAGCCGGGCAAGGAGGCGGGCGGGCGCTCACGACGAGTCAGTGCACGGTGACGGTGGCGGAGGGCACAGGTGGAAGTAGCTCCGCTCAGTGGACGGCGACGGGGGGCAGCTGTCCTCGGCCGACAGGTACTGGCTCCAGGGCGTGGGAGGCGGTGCGAACGGCTCCGAGTCGTACGCCGCCGCCGCCGCGTCGCCGCCGCCGCCGCAGTAGCGAGGCGGCGCTGCCGGCGGCCCGGGGAGAGCGACGGGCGGTGGGGGCGGCGCGCAGACGACGCCCCCCACGGAGGCGGCGTTGGCGGCGTGCCGGGGCCCGGGGCGCCAGCCGCGTGCGGGGCCGAGCGGCACGACGGGGCAGTCGCTGTCGCACACGTCCGTGCTGTACGGCGTGGTCGGGGGGGGCGACGGCGTGCGGCTTCTGATGCCTGGCGTGTGTGGGCGTGCATGGAGCAGTGGGTGTGTGTGGGTGTGTGTGGTGTGTGGGTGGGTGGGTGTGTGGGTGTGTGTGGTGTGTGTGTGGTGTGTGTGGGTGTGTGATATGTGTGGTGTGTGGGTGTGTGTGGTGTGTGGGTGTGTGTGGTGTGTGTGGTGTGTGGGTGTGTGTGGGTGTGTGTGGTGTGTGTGTGGGTGTGTGTGTGGGTGTGTGTGGGTGTGTGTGGTGTGTGTGTGGGTGTGTGTGTGGGTGTGTGTGGTGTGTGTGGTGTGTGGGTGTGTAGTGTGTGGGTATGTGTGTGGGTGTGTGGGTATGTGTGTGGTGTGTGTGGGTGTGAGGGCGTGTGGGTGTGAGGGCGTGTGGGTGTGAGGGCGTGCGTGGAGCGGTGGGTGCGCAGGCGTTGGTGTGTGTGTGTGGTGTGTGTGTGTGTGGTTGTGTGTGTGTGCGGTGTGTGTGGTGTGTGTGCGGTGTGTGTGGTGTGTGTGTGGTGTGTGGGTGTGTGGTTGTGTGTGTGTGCGGTGTGTGTGGTGTGTGTGTGGTGTGTGTGGTGTGTGGGTGTGTGTGGTGTGTGGGTGTGTGGTGTGTGGGTGTGTGGGTGTGTGTGGTGTGTGTGGTGTGTGTGGTGTGTGGGTGTGTGGTGTGTGGGTATGTGTGTATGTGTGTGGTGTGTGGTGTGTGTGGTGTGTGTGGGTGTGAGGGCGTGTGGGTGTGAGGGCGTGCGTGGAGCGGTGGGTGCGCAGGCGTTGGTGTGTGTGTGTGGTGTGTGTGTGTGTGTGGTTGTGTGTGTGTGCGGTGTGTGTGGTGTGTGTGTGGTGTGTGGGTGTGTGGTTGTGTGTGTGTGTGGTGTGTGTGGTGTGTGTGTGGTGTGTGGGTGTGTGGTGTGTGTGTGTGCGGTGTGTGTGTGGTGTGTGTGTGGTTGTGTGTGTGTGTGGTGTGTGTGGTGTGTGGTGTGTGGTGTGTGTGGTGTGTGTGTGTGGTGTGTGTGTGTGGTTGTGTGTGTGTGTGGTGTGTGTGGTGTGTGCGTGCGTGCGGTGTGCGTGATTGTGAGCACGGCGAGTGCGTGTATTGCACCACGGTGGGTGGCAGTGGTGCGTAAAAGCAAGGGGGTGGGGGACGGCCACAAGAACAGAATTCACACACGACGATCATTTGCGCAACACGGCGTCCAAAACCCAAACGTGCCGTGGCACACGACACGTGGTGAACAGGTGACCGAAATCGCCGTCGCAGCTGGACACAGCACGTCTGCACTTGCAGCAGAACGCGGATTTCCTCGCGACGCAGCAGCAAGCGGCTGCAGCGGATGCGACAGCGGCTCTCCCGGGCAGCGGCGAGCAGCCCAACGATGACATTATTGTCATCGTCGTCATTATTACTATCGATCGATATTAATACATTCCTGGCAAACATAACCAAAGAACCTTCGTGGTGTAACGAGACGGCGGCGGCTTCACTTCCAGTTCACCATGGGAGTCCAGCTCACCATGGCAATTCAGTTCACCATGGAAATTCAGTTCACCATGGGAGTCCAGTTCACCATGGGAGTCCAGTTCACCATGGGAGTCCAGTTCACCATGGGAGTCCAGTTCACCATGGTAATTCAGTTCACCATGGAAGTCCAGTTCACCATGGAAGTCCAGTTCACCATGGTAATTCAGTTCACCATGGAAGTCCAGTTCACCATGGGAGTCCAGTTCACCATGGGAGTCCAGTTCACCATGGGAGTCCAGTTCACCATGGGAGTCCAGTTCACCATGGGAGTCCAGTTCACCATGGGAGTCCAGTTCACCATGGGAGTCCAGTTCACCATGGGAGTCCAGTTCACCATGGGAGTTCAGTTCACCATGGGAGTCCAGTTCACCATGGGAGTTCAGTTCACCATGGGAGTCCAGTTCACCATGGGAGTTCAGTTCACCATGGAAATTCAGTTCACCATGGGAGTCCAGTTCACCATGGGAGTCCAGTTCACCATGGGAGTCCAGTTCACCATGGGAGTCCAGTTCACCATGGGAGTCCAGTTCACCATGGTAATTCAGTTCACCATGGAAGTCCAGTTCACCATGGAAGTCCAGTTCACCATGGTAATTCAGTTCACCATGGGAGTCCAGTTCACCATGGGAGTCCAGTTCACCATGGGAGTCCAGTTCACCATGGGAGTTCAGTTCACCATGGGAGTCCAGTTCACCATGGGAGTTCAGTTCACCATGGGAGTCCAGTTCACCATGGGAGTCCAGTTCACCATGGGAGTCCAGTTCACCATGGGAGTTCAGTTCACCATGGGAGTCCAGTTCACCATGGGAGTTCAGTTCACCATGGGAGTCCAGTTCACCATGGGAGTCCAGTTCACCATGGGAGTCCAGTTCACCATGGGAGTCCAGTTCACCATGGGAGTTCAGTTCACCATGGGAGTCCAGTTCACCATGGGAGTCCAGTTCACCATGGGAGTTCAGTTCACCATGGGAGTCCAGTTCACCATGGGAGTTCAGTTCACCATGGGAGTCCAGTTCACCATGGGAGTCCAGTTCACCATGGAAATTCAGTTCACCATGGAAGTCCAGTTCACCATGGGAGTCCAGTTCACCATGGGAGTCCAGTTCACCATGGGAGTCCAGTTCACCATGGGAGTCCAGTTCACCATGGGAGTCCAGTTCACCATGGAAGTCCAGTTCACCATGGAAGTCCAGTTCACCATGGAAGTCCAGTTCACCATGGTAATTCAGTTCACCATGGAAGTCCAGTTCACCATGGAAGGCCAGTTCACCATGGGAGTCCAGTTCACCATGGGAGTCCAGTTCACCATGGAAATTCAGTTCACCATGGGAGTTCAGTTCACCATGGAAATTCAGTTCACCATGGAAGGCCAGTTCACCATGGGAGTCCAGTTCACCATGGGAGTCCAGTTCACCATGGAAATTCAGTTCACCATGGGAGTCCAGTTCACCATGGGAGTTCAGTTCACCATGGAAATTCAGTTCACCATGGGAGGCCAGTTCACCATGGAAGGCCAGTTCACCATGGGAGTCCAGTTCACCATGGAAATTCAGTTCACCATGGGAGTCCAGTTCACCATGGGAGTCCAGTTCACCATGGGAGTCCAGTTCACCATGGAAGTCCAGTTCACCATGGAAATTCAGTTCACCATGGGAGTCCAGTTCACCATGGAAGTCCAGTTCACCATGGAAGGCCAGTTCACCATGGGAGTCCAGTTCACCATGGAAGGCCAGTTCACCATGGGAGTCCAGTTCACCATGGGAGTCCAGTTCACCATGGAAGTCCAGTTCACCATGGAAGTCCAGTTCACCATGGAAGGCCAGTTCACCATGGGAGTCCAGTTCACCATGGGAGTCCAGTTCACCATGGAAGTTCCGTTCACCATGGGAGTCCAGTTCACCATGGGAGGACTGTTTTTGATTGGCCAATACCAGTTGACACTGCACGGGTTGGCTACGCACGCCGCGAAAGAAGTTCAACGGAGGCAAGTAGGCACACACACAACGCACAACGAGGGGGTGAGGACACGTACGGACCCGCTCTCTCGCGCAAAGGGCACCCGGGGTCGGCAATCGGCAATCGAACCCAGCGGCTACCTGCTGCGAGGCACGAGCGGTTGCCGCTGCCCCGAAAACCAACCCACCAGCACACGCGACACTTTGGCAGAAGGACGCAACAACGATCGCCTTGACGATGGTGAAGGCAATGGGGGAGGGGGGGGGAGACAGCCCACCTGTAGGCCCTGTAAGTGGATGGGGTGCTGCTGTAGTTGGGGATCCCGGTGTAGCGAGACCGGTCCGTGGCAGGCGAGGGTGGAGGGTTGAGATTCTACAACGGAAGACAAAGTTCCCGCCCATCCCACACTCCCGTATAGCCGTTAACAGACTGTTGGGGCAAGTTGATGTTAGTGAGCGCCTATCGAGGCTGGCAGGTCATGGGTTCGATTCCGACCTTGACAGCTGCTGTATATTTGGTGTTTGTGCGTCTCTCTCTCTCTGCCTCACCCTGTGGTCGCGTGGATTTTTCTCCGGGCCCTCCGTTTGTTTCCTCCTCAAGATTTAGCATCAGCAAGCGCTTAGAACAATCGGCCAACATTAATGATTAATCACTACGTGATGACAAGCCGCGTCGTCGAGTTATCATTCGTGGCCACGTCGCTTCTGAAAAATACGGAGCCCTATACATAAAGAGCTCGCTGGGCCTTCACTTGGTAAGTAAAATAAGAAATAACCGAGTTAGAATTTCCGCCACTGGGCTCCCCGCAGGGATCACAACCGGCGATAACGAGCACCGATTCCTCAACGCCCATTCGAGACAGCGGCTAGAATCTGGGGCGAGCGACTGTTGGGGTTTCCCTCCCGCCGCCGCCGCCACCGCCCAGGGCTTTTACCGGCGGGAAGAACGTGCCCTTGCTGGATGAACTGCTGGAGGAGGCGCCGGTGATGTGCGCGCGGTCGTAGGGTGGAGCCCCGTTACTGCCGCCGCCGCCACCACCGCCCACCCCCATCAGGCTGTTGAAGCTCATCAAGGACTTTCCACGCGAGGCACCTGCGGGCGGGGTGGGTGGGAGGGGGAGCCGAAGGGGGTCATGACGTTTATAAAACAATAAAATAATCGGCCGGCCGGTCCTGCCCGGTCCGATCGGCACTGCCGCTGCGTGAAAGCTGCCCACACAAAATATACAGAGAGTCCTCTACTTACGAACGAGTTAGGTTCCAGAGGTCTGCTCGTAAGTCAATTTTTGCTCGTAAGTCCAACTTTACTCCTGTCGTTCCCAAACATGGTGTATGGCATTGTACACTAAACACGGGGAATGGCTTTAAAAGTTGTATAATCTCCGGTAGATGTAGATGCCACTGATTCTTCGCGTTCTGCAGATGTAGAGGCAAATGGTTCTTCGCGTTCTGTAGATGTAGATGCCACTGGTTCTTCACGTTCTGTAGATGCCACTGGTTCTTCGCGTTCTGCAGATGTAGATGCCACTGGTTCTTCACGTTCTGCAGATGTAGATGCTACTGGTTCTTCATGTTCTGCAGATGTAGATGCTACTGGTTCTTCATGTTCTGCAGATGTAGATGCCACTGGTTCTTCACGTTCTGCAAATGTAGATGCCACTGGTTCTTCACGTTTTGCAGATGTAGATGCCAATGGTTCTTCGCTTTCTGTAGATGTAGATGCCACTGGTTCTTCACGTTCTGCAGATGTAGATGCCACTGAGGAGCCCCTGTACAAGGAGCCGTTCGTTTCCACTTTTTGTGTTTAATTTGCTGCTGTCCCTTGTCCCCGCACCTACGATTAGCACGGTTGGCTACGTACTACGGAGCGAAAGAGGTTCAACTTATTGTACATACATTACGTTATGCCGGTTCACGTAAAGCAATAGGTGGGCCACGAGGTGTTTGAATCTATGGAGAAGAAGGGGGGGCTCCCCCCCACTTGCCCCTACCACTGAACAAAATTAATTCACTGACAAAAAAGAAATACACGATGCAGTAAGAATCCCTGGCGAGCCAGGGTCTGGCTAGCCAGGCCTTTTACTGCATGGCTAAATGTCCCAATAGAAATGTGTTTTTACTGCCGTGCAATTAATATTACCTTTCATCCGGTCGTGTGGGATAGCTTAACTGGAAAAAACACAAACGCAGTGACCAGGCGCTGGAGCATACAAAAAAAACTGTGGATCAAAAACAATTTCGAAATAGGCTTGAGAAAGCGATCATCATCGCCGCGGAATGTCGGGGACTCGTGCGACAATAAACTTTTGCCGCAGCAAACGCTCGACAAGATAAAAACCAACGGCGCGATTGTCGCGATATCGCCGTGACGAGCGCCAGCAACGACGCGGCGTAAGACGCAACAACAAAGCAACGGAGCAGGCGACCCCACACCCGACACCATGCGCGGCATCGTGAAGCGCGGCATCGTGAAATGCGACGGAGAAAAAAAAAAAACGAGCCGTGAGTTTGTGAGAACGCGTACCGGGCTTACGCGCCGTTCGTGGGAGTTCGTGTGAACTCGTAGCCCGACAAGCGGGCCGCAAAGCCCGTGAGGGAACGAGCGAGCGAGCGAGCCGGGCCAACTCACCCATGTGGCAACCGCCGTGAGCGCCCGAGCGGGGCATGAAGGCCAGCGGCGTGTGCACGGGCAGCCCCCCTCCCGCGCCGCCCCCAAAGCCGCCAGCGTGGCCCCCCGGGCCCAGGTCGGCGCCGACGATGACCCCGGCGGTGCCGCCGATGCCGCCGACGCCGCCGACGCCGCCGACGACGCCGCCGCCGCGCCGCCGCTGCCGCCGCCCGCGCAAACACAGCAGGTGCTGGCACACGAAGCAGGCGCCGGCGACCATGACGAGAGCCAGGAAGACGACGCCCACCACCGAGCTGATGGTGTAGCCGGCCGGCACGTGGCTGGACGGCGGCAGCGGAGTCAGCGCTGGAAGAAGCGACACCGGCATCATGTTCGCGTGCGCACGCACGCACGCACACACGCACGCACACACGCACGCACACACGCACACACGCACGGCCGAGCGTCGGCCTGCAAGCGCTGCCCAACTGTCCGTCGCCCGACGACCAAGGAGGCGGGGAGAAAAGATGGCGGAAGTTGTTGACGGCTCCGCTAGCGCGCCCCCATTTCCCGCGCTCGCTCCGTTTGTGGCAGGCAGCCCATCTAGCGAGCAGGGGGTAGGGTCAGAGGTCGCAAACGGGTTTTGATTCCTTACCCGTACCCGGCCGGGTATCGGGTAGGGTACGGGTATCGGGTACCCGATTGCGACCTCTGGGATGAAGCCATGTTGCAGGCGCGGGTGGGTTGATTCTAGGAACTTGGATTGTGAGAAGAGACAAGACGTTGGGAAATGAGTGACAAACAGTTACTCACCAGTGACTCACGGCCTTCTCACTCATTGGTTGGGGTGAGTTACGTGCGGCTACCCGTACCCGTACCCGGCCGCACCAGGGTCGCAAACGGGTACGGGTACCCGATTGCGACCTCCGGGTAGGGTAGAGGTGTGGTTTGCGTCCCCGAGACTGCATGCGAGAATGGCTGCTAAGAAGCCCCCCGTCAACCTTCCCACTCGACCGAGCGAGGGATTTGCTGTGGTGCCCCAAACCGCGAACGCCGCCGCCCCCCGCCACCAAACTCACGGCAGGCGTCTTCGTCAGAGGCGTCCGGGCAGTCGGCGGCGCCGTCGCAGCGCTGCCGTCGCAGCAGGCACTGCCCGCTGCCGCACTGGAACATGTCCCCCGGGCACTCTTGCCGCCACAACAAAAACGACAACAAAAACAACATAAACAACAACAACATAAACAACAAAAACAACAAAAACAATCACAGCGACAACGTCGACCGTCATTCGCCAATAAGTGGCGGTGACGTCACCACCACGGCGCTTGCCGCCAACACAGCAGCCACGGCAATCGCCCACTGCGGAAGAACAATTAAAACTCAACTCACGATACGACACTTGTTATGTTACCAGGTAGGGGCCCCCGCCGAGCTACGTGGCTCTTATTCAAAAGCGACCTGGCCGTCACAAACGACAGTTCGACGAAGTGGAAATTTATAGCAGCCAAAACACTCTTAAACGCAGAACAAGCGGACTGCTCCACTCAGCGACGACACGGGATGCCGCGGAATGGCTTACAAAATAAAGTAATCAATCATTGGCTTCTTTTTTTACTTTTACTCCATACAGAAAGGAGAAGCGAAAAGAGACGCCGGGAAGGGGGCGGGAGGAGTTACTCGTTCATCAACGGCGGGCCTGGCGTAGTGTTGGCCGCCCCCAACCCCCTCTCGCGTGCCCATGGCAGCTTTCGTAGGTTCTCGCCGACAGCACTTCACGGTTATCGTGCGCATCCATCACCCATTACCAGCACGATGTAAACGGGGCAGGAGCACCGTGTGGTGCCATCCACCCCCCCCCCCCCCCCCTTTTGACTTCGGTCGTCATCCTGGCAGCAGCAGCAGCAGCGGCAGCAGCGGCAGCAGCGGCGGTGGCAGCGGCAGCAGCGGCAGCAGCGGCGGCAGCAGCGGCAGCAGCGGCGGTGGCAGCTTTTGGCTATAGCATCGAACAGAGACGACGGTTGCCGCATCATCATCGCGAGGCGCTTTCGGATGCGCTCCTGCGGCCGTCTGGAACGCTCTCTCCCTTCCGACATTAGGAAGCCACTGGGAGCTGCACACTTTTTAATTGTCCAAGTTGACAAACCCAATTCTTTGAAAGCCGCTTTTTGCGTTGAGTTTTTTGTCCTTCCCCCGCACGCACCTTCGATGAGCACGCTTGGCTACGTACTGCCTTCAATAAATACACGAGTGTCGCCGTCGACGGACGGCTGTCCGGCCAAGGAGCACACGGGATTGGCCAAGTTTCCGCGAGGGGCACAAAGCGCACACAACGCGTTGGGCGTAGGCCTGAACCGTGTCGGACTACGGTGCCCTTTGCTGCGCTGCCCTCTGCTGCCCACAACGCCTACTGCACACGTGTTTAGCGCACAGCGGGTCACTCACCCCGTCACCGTTCAGGTTCAACCCCTACAACGGTGGCAAAAGAAGTTCAACATACATACACTTCAACATACACACACGCACTGGCGGAGCCAGTGGGGGGGGGGGGGGGGCACGTGCCCCATCCCCAATGATCCGATCAAAATCCCTAATTTCGATTGGATCATTGGGGTTTATGAGTAATAAATCGGCATGTTGCGTGCCAGGGACTATGAGATGATAGGACAATAGTCTGAGTGCATAATTGGCAATAAGTAACGGCAAAGCGGTTATAAGTGATTCACAGAATTGTGCGCAAGTTGCGTTTACAGGACACGACTTCCCTGCAGGCATTCACCTTCAGCGAGCGCGATGCCGATCACACAACGCGGTTCGAATTCGACCCTCGCCATCGCCGCACACGCCTCGAATAAGAATCAAGGGACAAGTTCTCGCTTTCTCTTGACTTACTAACAACTCCTCTATCATGTTTCATTGCTGGAGGGGTTGCCCCCCCCCTACCTGAACACCCTGGCTCCGCCATTGCACACACGTACTACACGGGGAGGGGCCGTTACTCTTTGGTTCTTTCGGTAAAGTCGCGTATAAAGATAAGATAATAAGTTAAATACTAGCATACGACGTTTCGATTGCAACACAAGCAATCATCATCAGGTATAAATGAAATGCCAATGTTTGTTCTCTCTCTATGTATCTCTGTGATATCTGTCTGCTTATATGTCTGTCTATGTCTCTGGTTCTGTGTTTAATCTCTCTCTCAAATTTAGCATTCTCAGGAAGAACGTAATCAACCAGGTAGGGTGTTGACTGTTATGTTATCCGACTCTCTGTTGTATTACATTCCGTTTCTAAGTATACTAGATTTGTGTTTCTATTTCATTTATATCTGATGACGATTGCTTGTGTTGCAATCGAAACGTCGTATGCTGGTATTTAATTCATTACTTTATCTTTACACGTCACTTTACCGAAAGAACCAAAGAGCAATTTCTGCAGTCACGAAAGCTCCAAAATTAATTCTAGATTTGATACAGCTGTCGTGGCTGTGACGGTACCACCTGAAGACGGAAGCTTGTGTTGCCTCCGAAACGTCGTGATTTTTATTTTATTTTTATTTTATTTAACTTTATAATGTTTTTACCTACGTGACTTTACCGAAAAAACCTAACAATACTCCAAAATTAAGTTCGAGGGGCCGTTACCGTAGCAACTGCTCTCGTCGGACATGTCCTGGCAGTCCGAGTCGCCGTTGCAGTGCAGCGCAGCATCCACGCACTGCCCGCTGCGACACTGGAACTGGGCGTCCGAGCACAGGGGGCAGTCGCGCTCGTCGCTCTGGTCGTCGCACTCGGCGTAGCCGTCGCAGCGCCACGCCAGTGGGATGCAGTCGATCTCGCCCGTCCAACACGCAAACTGCTCCGCGCTGCACGTCGGGTGCTCTGCGTGGGGGGCGACGGGGGTTATAACTGTTCATCAGCGGCGAGCGGCGGGTGCGGCGGTGGGTCCACTGCGTGCACCGCTACATATCTATGTCTACCAACACCCATCGAAAGGAAAGTTCCAACACGGACACCGCCGATTAGCACGGTCGGCTACGTGCGGTTTTTGAAAGAAGCGCAACACACGCACGGCCGTGTTGTTACGGGTACGGCGCACAGCGCGGGACGGAACGGAGACTCTGGGGTGTGGCTGGGACATGTGTCGAGAATGGAATCCGAGCGGATAGCGATAACTGCCCTACGGCGGGCACCGCAACGGAAGAGAGACCACGCGGGGCAGGCCGTAGACCATCTGGCGACGGCACCGTTCAAGACCAACTAAAGACCAAGGTGGGGGGGGGGGGGGGCGGCTGTCTTGGGGTGAAGCAGAGAAAGCTGCTAAAAGACCGTCCGGCACGGCGTGGCCTTGTTGCTGCCCGATGCTCCACGCAACGCCATATTGACGCGATCCAACCGAGGAGAGAAGAAAACGAGCCGTCGTCATTGTTCCGTGTGGAACTTTGCTTTCGCGTTCCGTCGCGCGCGCGCGCGCGCGAGCGAGCGCCACCCTCACCCCCACACGTGAGCTCGTTCTGCAGCAGCACGAGGTGGACGGGGCAGGAGCACCGCGTGGTGCCATCCCCCTTGACGATGCAGATGTGGGAGCAGCCGCCGTTGTCCCCAAAGCACGGGTGGCTCCCTGCGGTCCGAGCCACGTGGTGGGTGGAGGGGGACGGGACGGGGGGGGAGGGGGGGACAGGCGGGTGGCACAACGGGTGAGCGAGGAGCAACAGAGACGCGGCGAGCGGGAGACGGAGCGGCACCAGACTACGCGGCGAGGAGGCGCTGCGATTGGTCCGTCAAATCGACCGTCACCCGGCTCTCTTGTAAACTTTGGGGAGTTTTTTTTGCTTTTGTCATTTTGGTCACCCAGGCCACGCGGCGCTTGCAAATTAAAGGAATGGCGGGGGTTGAGCTGGGATGCATCTGTGAGGAGGGCGAACTGGTGAAAGGAGTGCGCATGTTGGGGATGAGTCTGATGGGGGGGGGGGGGGGGGGGGCGGACAGGCTGTGACCAGTTGTGATTTCTTCCTAAATGAACACGGAAATTCATTCATTGCGCGTAGCCGGCGAAGGGCCGTTGCCGCCTCTTAGCGATGACAGCATCCGCGTAAACTGCCCTTGCCGCTGCTGTACACCGGCGTCGAGCGATTTCTTTGATCCACGGATCACGGGGGGGTGGGGGGGGTGTGTGTCACTCACGGTAATGGGCGATGGGCATCTCGTGGGCGGTCAGCACGTCGGTGAGGTAGGGCATGCGCCCCTGCACCTTGGTGCGGCCGCCGCCGCCCTCCTTGGCCACACGCTCCATCAGCTGCTGCTGCCGGTCGATCCAGTAGAGGTGAGCGCCGAACACGGCGAGCCCCACGGGCTGCAGGATGTTCGACTCCTCCAGCACGATGCGGTTGGCCCCTGCGGCGATGGCGGTGGCGGCAGCAGCAGGGGCGGACGCACACGCACGCACGCACACAAAGCTCAAAGTTCTCCCCCCCCCAACCGGTGTAGCCTTAACAGACTGTTGGGGCAAGTGCTGTTAGCGAGCGGCACCTACGAAGGGAGGCACGGGTACACGACCGGGGGGGCGGGTGGGGCCGGCAACCACACCCGGCCGCCTTTGTCTCCCTCTGTGGCGATGTTGACACTGTCTTTGCCGTCGGCCCCCCCCCCTCTCCATCAGTCATTCTAACAATGGTCCTCTAGCCACCTCAAGTCTTTGGTATCAGTTGGGGATGTGACGATTAACGCACCCCCACCACCCCCCCCCCCCCCGCACCCCCCCACCCCCCCAGCCCCCCCCTTCCACCCCACCAACAGACGATCCAACGAATTGTCCCGACTGGAGGATGCGATCACTAGACTCAACAACCAATTTTTTTTATCTCTCTCGTCAGTTTGTACGGTTTAGTTTGCTCAACCAGCCTTAACGTAACATTTAAAGAAATAGCGGCGGGACCATTGGTACAAACGACAGGTATTGAAACCTCACAAACAATTCGGCGGTTGTGCTTTCGCTACGTTGCCCACACCTGAAGAAGGACGCTTGTGTTGCGCCCAAAACGTCATCATTTAATTTAGTTGTTTTCATTTATTTCATTTGATTTTCTAACCTACGTGACTTTACCGAAAAAACCAAAGAGTATGGATTCCTTGCAGTCACGAAAGCTTCAAATCTAGAATCGTAAGAATCGATTCAGCGTCGTCAGTTTGGCAACATCACCGGGGCGTGGAGGGGGGGGGGGCAGAGGTCGCAACCGGGTACCCGATACCCGTACCCTACCCGATACCCGGCTACCCATACCCAGCCGGGTACGGGTACCCGGCCGGGTACGGGTAGCCGTTTGCGACCCTGGTGCGGCCGGGTACGGGTAGGCCGTGAGTCACTGGTGAGTAACCGTTTGTCACTCATTTCGGGTAGGGTACGGGTACTGGTAGGGAACGGGTACCCGTACCCAGCCGGGTAAGGGTACCTATTTGCGACCCTGGTGCGGCCGGGTACGGTTACGGGTAAGGAATCAAAACCCGCTTGCGACCTCTGGGGGGGGGGGGGGGGGGGGGTTTCCCCACCCCGTGATGCGAAGAGATACCTACAAAAATGTTAAACTGAGGAAACTTTTCAAGACCTCTTGATTTCACAAACAAGGGGGGGGAAATCCTGGCATGCGACGTGGCCACCCGCCGCGGCACGGGTCGCCACAACGCCGTCGCCAGGAATAACATCAAAGCCCGCGCATCTTTCCCACGCCCCCCGGCGATGACACGGCACAGCCACCCGCGCTCGCCGTGGACTCAAGTTTATTTTGTTTCGCTCCACTTACGACGGTCCCCTTTGTCCACTCGCCTGGCTGCTTTACACGGAGACATCCGTGGTGCGCGAGAACCGCGGCAGCGACGACTACGACGGTGACGGCCACGGCGACAAAACAAAAACATCGATGGTGCAGAGAACGAGGAGTACGGGACGCTACAGGAATATTGCGCGCACTAAACTTGTGTTTTCCTTCCTTCGCAGGTAAGGCCCACTGAGCTATGTAGCTCCAGCGGCTTCCTAACGTCTGTCCCTCCACATGAAAAGAAAACAGATCCGTGCGGACACTTCACTGGTGTCCGCCTTTCTTCATTCCCCGTGGGTTTACCTCTGGGTACTCCAGTTTTGTGATTATACTCGCTTCAAAGCGTTTGAAGCGTGGGCGCGCCAGTTGGGGACCCGCGCCTGTGTTTTTATCCCATCGATTCTTTCTGGTTGACGTTCATTCTCTCGGGCAGGATATTTTGAAAATGTTCCTAATCCTTCATCATCATTAGAATCGATTCAGCGTCGTCAGTTTGGCAACATCACCGGGGCGTGGAGGGGGGGGGGCAGAGGTCGCAACCGGGTACCCGATACCCGTACCCTACCCGATACCCGGCTAGTACCAAAATTTAATAATAGGGTTTTTCCCCCTTTTTTTTTTCTGGCAACAAAACCGACACCTTTTTACGAGGATTCACGTCTGCATTAACCACAATACTTGAGGTCAAAATGCAAACGAAAAACACGCTCTGATAATATCTGTGCATTGTCCTTGAAACTGATTGGTCCACACCAGAGACGGCTTTCTTTTGGGCCTTGTCTCAATAAGTGCTAGACCAGAGGACGCCGTGGATTCGGACGTCGCTTCCATGGAGTCCGATCCTTGACGCACAAATGCGGTCACGGCCTTGTGACCGGTGCTCTTTAACGATGTTGCCACGCAGAATACGTTTTGATCTCAACACGAGCTCTCCGGCAGACGAAAGTGGCACGGTTTAGTTAGTTGTGCCGCCACGCTGGAGAGATGTGAACTACCCCGCCCGGTAATGAAGGAGGTCGTCGTGGGTTCGATCTCGACGCCCGTTTTATATTTAGAGATCACGTGGAATTTTCTCCGGGTCCTCCGGTTTGTCCCTCTGCATTTGGAATCAACATCACACGTCTGGAGCATTTGGCTGCTATGAAATTTCCACAGGACGATGCCAAGCCGCCACCTTTCGCTGAGCTATCATTTGCGATCGCCAGGTCGCTTCTGAAAAAGGGCCACGATACGTAGCGCCCTCAGCGGGGCCTCACCTGGTAAAAATACAAATAGTAGCGGTACAAGAACTCGGGAGTCAAACGCACCGTTGAGGTCACTGCACTCGATACGCTTGAGCTCGGCATCGGCCCAGTAGAGTCGCCCGGGAGCGTTGTCCACCGCCAGCGCGGAGGGGCGACTCAGGCCGCTGGTGAAGAGCACCTCCCGCTCCGTGCCGTCCAGGGAGGCGCGCTCGATACGCGGAGCCCGGTCCTGCAGGTTCGTGATGTACATGTACCTGCAAGGGCCAACGTGTTTACGCGTGGGTTAGCGCAGATGTGCGATATACGCCTAGCTGCGAAGGCAAACGGGTTTCGCCGATCCGGTAAAATCATTGCCACCGCATTCTAAGATCACGGAGCTGTGCCGCCACTTCTTGGCCACGGCGCAGCCAAGCGAGGTTTGGGAATTTCTCAATGACGCCGCGGACCAATCGACCGGCGCTCCCCTCTTCCGCGTGCACCTCGTCTACAATAACAACAATAAAAAAAGCCGCCATTCGCTACTAAGTGGCGGTGACGTCACCACGGCGCTCGTGCCAGGCTAAGTGCACGTTGAGGCCACGTGAAGTTCAAAAGGCCCGCTGGCAGGTCACAGAACAGACCCAGGTGCCATGAGTTGCTGACTGAAATGACTGGCTGTTGCACCCTCTGTGCCCCCGACTCTGCCAAGTTCCTCGTTTCTGTGAGCGTCGCCCCTCTGTCCCTCCGTTGTTGCTGGAGGGCGACTGCCTCCGACTGCCCAGTAGCAGCAGCGTCCTTCACGAGCCTCCTCCACAGAGGCCGACCTTGATGACACCGCTGGCACCAGTCGTCGGCAAAGTCCACTCAGCTCCACCTCGCCAAGCACCCGCTCCCCCCCAACCACCACCAACCCCCCCCACCCCCGGCCACGCTCACCCCCTCTCCGGGTTCACGACGATGGAGCGGGGCCGATCGGCGCCCCCGCCGAGCACCACCCCGACGGGGCGCCCGTCCAGGCGCGTCACGTTCACCACGTTGGTGCTCTCGCACGTCCAGTAGATGGCGCGGCTGTACACGTCCAGGCTGAGGTCGAACGGCTGCGAGCCGCCACCCCACGCCGCCACCAGCGTCCACAGCTGCGCGCAAGCACGCACGAGCACGCATGCACGCACGCGGTGTGTGAGGTTTATTTATAATGGAGGAATCTGATGAGATATGAAGCTCTTTTTGATGTGCAGTTGGGACAGGTCAGAACGTTACAACAACAAACACAATGCAAAAATACCAAAACAGTGCCAAGTATAGGAAAGGTAAGCAAATCACTTAAAAATAGAACTACAGTAAAACCTTGGATTGCGAGTAACTTGGTCTGCGAGTGTTTTGCAAGACGAGCAAATTTTTAAAATAAATATTAATTTGATAAACGAGCGAGGTCTTGCAATACGAGTAGTACGTGTATACGCTTTGTCTGCCGAGCGTCACGTGATCACAACCGATATACGAGTGCTTTGGATTATAAACACGTTTCCAGAACGAATTATGCTCGCAATCCAAGGTTTTACTGTACAAATAAAACTAACTCATTTTTTTTTATCTTACCAGGTAAAGCCCACTGAGTTATTCGCTTCCTATAAGAAGCGACCAGGCCACAAATGATAGCTCAACAAAGTGGCTTATCAAGTGGACATTTATAGCAGCCAAATATTCTCAATATTTGGCTGCTATAATGCGCATGGAAAAACAGGAGGACTCGGGAGAAAGATCCACGCGACCACGGGGAGAACACGCAAAACTCTTAATATACAGGCGTCGGGGTTAGGATCGTACCCACGGCCTCCTGCATACCAGGCGAGGTAGTCAACATCTTGACATCGTGGCGCAGACACCAGCAAGTATTGCACGTACCACCCCCCATCCCCGACATCGGGCAGTTCAATGCAAGAGAATGCCCTTAAAAGCGCACCGCTTGAAAATTAGATACATTTTTTCCGCGGTTCCAGACGTAGGAGTCGTCGGTGCAGAATCAATGTTTACTCGGCTCTTCACAATACAGCTGACCACCCACGAGATAAAGTCGGCGGGGATGTTTTACACAGCAGTGGACTCAAGCGAACGAGTCTCAACAGGAGTCGACGAGGTTTACTTTAAACACAACAAAGATTTTACCCGTATAGTCTGAACAGACTGTTGGGGCAAGTGCTGTTAGCAAACAACTAATGAAGACCGGTAGTAGGCACATGAGGGGGTGGGTGGCCAACACCACGCCCGGCCGCCTTTGTCTCCCTAATTGCGATGTTTTACACACCGCACCAGGTACTCATTTGAGGCCGAGTCGACCTAGGGGATGCCCAGTACCGGTTCAGATAACCGTCACTGGTGTTGGTCGTGAGCGGGAATTGAACTCGAGGTCGCCGGGTTCGTAGTGCAGCACGCTAACCACTACACTATGCATGATAAACACACACACACACACGCGCAATATTATACAACATTAACACACTGTCAGCCCACCCCCCAACCACCCCCCCCCCACCCCGTAACCGGTACATCACATTAAATATAAACACACACACATGCACACGGATGGATGGCAGGCGGTCAAAACTGTTTGACAAGATTAATGAAAGCAAGTCTCCACCAATAAACATTGCAGAGTTGTTTTATAAACCCAGCTTCATCAACTTTGTTTAAACACCCATGGCTATGTCGCGTAAGCGCAGTAAAACACAACGGGGCTCACCCTATGTACATCGTCCATAACAGAGATTTTTTTGGGGTTAGATCGCGTAAATATAAATGCGTCGTCAAACCCGCCACCACCCGACGCAGCCAACTAGTGAGGGCTGTCACGTAAACAGAAGGTGCCAATTCGTCACTAGTACAGCACGCCGGTGTGTTGGAGAGTAAAACCTCTATTATGGATAATATTGGACGTGAATGCCTGAGTGTAGCGACATCGCTGCATGTCAACAGGCTGTGGGTGGGTGTAGTACCGGCCCTAGAGGGACCCGGTTTGCGCTGAATAATAGCGCTGGATGGCACCACGCGTTGAGTGCAGCGCCGACCCTACAGGACAGGGTGTGTGGGTACCGATGCGAGGGCTGGAACTGCTTCTCTTTGGCGAGGCGTGTGATGTTAGCTGGTATTGATGTTGCTACTCGCAACTGCTTTTCCAGGTTTGCTCCTAGATTTGTTGAATTTCGAGTCCCGCCTGCGGTTGCCTTGGCAGGGCCACACCAAATGATTTTACTGGTAGGAACCTCTTGGTGACACCAGCCCACAGGGGATTATTCTGTCCGTCCCTCCTGCATCCAAAAATGGGAGGGGTGGGGCTGGGTGGAGAGGGGCTGGGTGGGGAGGGTCTGGGTGGGGAGGGGCTGGGTGGGGAGAGTGGGGCTGGGTGGGGGGTGGGAGGGGTGGGGCTTGGTGGGGAGGGGCTGGTCACCCCGTGGTGCCCTTATAAAACTCAACGTTTAACCTACTCACGCCGGCTTGTGCCCGCCCTCACAGTCGGCCATATTTGCGGAATACACCACGCCGCTGTTGACCCTGCAGGCCATTGACCGAGCATCCCAACGTTCCTACCAGCTCCCTCCGCAGGAATGTGTTCGGGCCTCGTGCGGCCAGCGGGCCGGACGTTCCCCACCCTCTGCTGTAGGCCAAGCAAAGACGGGGGCGGCGAGCACACACCTGTGTGCCGTCCTCGCGGGCACGACGGATGGTGCCCTGGCGCCCCTCCACCCAGTAGATGAGCTTGTCCAGGGGGTCGTAGTCGACGGCGCGCACGCTGCGCAGGGACGGCAGCGGCAGCACGATGTCGGGGCTCTGCAGGTCGTCGAGCAGCATGCGGTTCACGGCCGTGCGCTGGCTGAACAGCAGGAACGACGTGGGCGCTGGCGGTGAACGGGACACGGTGGGGGGAGGCAAGAAGGCACGGTGAGAATACAACGTCGCCCATCTGTCGTTCGGGTTTCCACACGGCGGTGAGCTTGTCGGGCGGTACCTCCGATTGGCACAGTTGGCTATGAGGAAGCCACTGGAGGCGATGCACTTTTAAATAATCCAGATTGAAAATTCACTTCTTTAGGAGCTGCTTTTTCGTGTTCAGTTTGTTGTCCAGCCTCCCGCGACTTCCGAATAGCGTCGGTCGGCTACGTACGGCGGGGAGGAAGTTCAACGTACGTACATACGGGACATCGCAGGCTGGAGGGAACGTGCAACCGCTCAACCAGAGCAAACGCAGCGGCAAATCATTATCACGAACTACGGTTCCCGCACGGGGTGGGGGGGGGGGGGAGATAACTCACGTGAGCAGGTGCGGTTGTCGGCGTTGAGGGTGTAGTGAGCCGGGCAGCCGCACACGTAGCTCCCGCCAGGCCTCGCCAGGCACAGGTGGGAGCACTGGCCGTTCCCCATGACGCACGCGTTCCATCCGCCCTGTCGAGACGCGCGCACGACACGACAAGCGAGCTTAGCACGTAGGTTTTTCGCAGGCAAGTTTGGCCAACCGTTGGTACGAAGACGGTCAACCGTATCGCACGCTTTCAGGTGCGCTTCTGCGGCCGTCTGGAACGCTCTTCGTTCTGATGTTAGGAAGCCACTGGAGCTGGGCACTTTTCAATCATGTAGATTGAAAACGAATGTTTTCTATACAACTGCTTTTTGTGTTTAGTTTCGCGACCAATATCATCAATAATACAGGTTCTTTTGGGTTTGATCGTGTAAATATAAACGCGTCGTTAAAACCGCGACCACCTGACACGGGCAATTAGTAAGGTTTGTCACGTACACAGAACGTGCCAAATCGTTACGAGTACAACTAGTAACGGTACTAATTGGCTGTGTCGGATGGTGGTGGGTTTAACGACACATTTATACTTAAGCGATCTAACCCAAAAACCTCTATTGTGGATAAGGGTCCTCGCGCCTGCGAGTGCGTACGGTTACACACTTTCACAGTACACGACCGCGTGTGTGCGTACAACCATGTGTTTGCCCCCGATACACACCTGTGTGTGCGTGGGTGTGAAAAACGTGTGCGGAGCAGCGATCCGAGTTCGATTCCCGCTCACGGCCAACGTCGGCGACGATTATTCGAACCGGTCCCGGGCCTCCCCTAGGTCGACTCAGCATCAAATGAGTACCTGGTGCGGCGTGTAAACATCGCCACTGGGGAGTCAAAGGCGGGCCCGGGCGTGGTGCTGGCGACCCCATCCACTCGTGTGCCGTGCCATGCCTTCATAGGTGCTGCTCGCTAACAGCACTTGCCCCACCGGTCTGTTGAGGCTACACGGGGGGATCTTTGTCTTTTCGCGTGGGTCCCCACGTTGTTCTCAAAGTGCACCGAGCAAGGCAAGAGCGCGGCGGGGACGCCGCCGTGGTCAATGCTGTACCACCCACCCCCACCCACCGTGTACCGTTCCGTCCATCAAAGGAGCTCGCTAACAGCACTTGCTATACGGGGGGGGGGGGTGGGGTATCTTCGCCTAGTGCGTGCCTGGTACGCGTCCACCTGTCCGGAGTGTGCACAGCGGTTGCTCGGTGCGTGGACTGCGCGTGCCGCGCCCGCCGCTGCTCACCTGCCGGCTCGAGTGGAACACCAGGATGTCCATGACGTCGTCCAGCTGCGACTGGATGAGCGTGCGGTTTTTGCCGTCCGTCTTGTTGGCGCGCTCGATGCTGCGCCGCGTCCAGTCCGTCCAGAAGATGTAGTCCTGGTACTGGGTGAGGCCGAACGGGTGCGGAAGGTCGTCCGCGATCACGCCCCGGTTTTCTCCTGGTTGCAAATCACCGCCGCCGCCGCCACGATCATTACTCGCAGTCGGGATGGTTTGAAATGAGTGTTCTTCACTAATTGTCAGAGGGAAGCCGCTTTCGCCGATAAGACATCGTCAGTGTGAGGGCCGCCACACATTTGATCCCACTGTTGGGTTTGACAGCAGCACGATGATGATGGGAGGGTGTTGTTTTCACTTTGTGTGTGTTGCCAGGGGGCCACATGTCAAGGGGCCGCACTCAAGGCCACCGGGGGCTGTCAGTGGCCCGTGGTGGCGTTGCGATGAAGAACGCGCCTTTTGGCGTCATCTGGTCCAACCCGTTGGAGACTAGGCTCTAAGGAAAGCTGTCTCGGGTGTGGGCCAATCAACATCAAGGACAGTGCACATTATCAGAGTTATGTTTTTTGTTTGCATTATGACTAGCAGGTATTGTGGTCTATACAAACATGACTCCTTGTAAAAAAAAAAGGTGTCAGTTTTGTTGCCAGATAGAAGGGTAAAAAAACAATTATCATATTTTTTACTGGCAAATGAGGTTCCAATGATGAAGAACACCGTTATGAGCAAAACGCTGCCAGGACACCGGATGTTATTGGCAAGAGTATTCCGTCAAAACAATGAGATGCAAAAAGAGCCATATTGTACACAGACTGATTACGCATTACTGCCGAGCATTTATGGGTAAATGGTTTTGAGACTGATTTCAGCTTTGCTGGTTAAAGGGCAACTTCATGACGATCAATATTAGAAGAACTGTACAAGCGGCGGCCTACCCAGCAAGTCAGAAGACTCGATGAGGTAGGTGTCCAGGTCGGCCCAGTAGAGGCGGCGCGCCGCGTAGTCGATGGTGAGGCCGTTGGTGCGGCCCACGTTGGTGAGCAGCACGCGGCGCTCCGTGCCGTCCATGCAGGCGCGCTCCACGCGTGGCCGCCCGCCCCACTCGGTCCAGTACATGTAGCTGCACACGCGCCAACGGGAGAGGGCCGCACACGGGAGGGGGACGCAACTCAAATAAAACCAAGCACTGGAACTATGAACTATGTTTTATTTCTAGATTTGAAGCTTTCGTGACTGCAAGTATTAATATTCTTAGGTTCTTTCGGTAAAGTCACGTAGGTAAAAAATTAAAATTAATAAAAGTAAAATAAAAGTAAAATAAAAATCACGACGTTTCGGAGGCAACACAAGCTTCCGTCTTCAGGTGGAATCGTCACAGCACGATAGCTGTACTTGATACACGATAGCTGTACTTGATACAGCTATCGTGCTGTGACGGTTCCACCTGAAGACGGAAGCTTGTGTTGCCTCCGAAACGTCGTGATTTTTATTTTACTTTTATTTTACTTTAATTAATTTAAATTTTTTACCTATGTGACTTTACCGAAATAACCTAAGAATGTGTTTTATTTGACCAAGGTAAGGCCCCCACTTGCCTGGTAAACGTCTTGACGACGACATAAGAAACTGGTTCCAGATAGACGGTGCACCACTTGGCACGGGTACAGAGGAAAGTGGAAGGAAATAACGAAATGTCCAGTGGACACCGAAGATTGTGATGTTGATGATGCAGATCCACTGAGCTACAGAGCTCGTTTTACACGCTTTCATTTTACTCATTCTGTCCGTTGTTGTTGTCGTTGTTGTTGTCGTTGTTGTATCCTCAAATCTTGTAACTCAATTTTAACCCACGTCCCAATGTGGTATCGACTGCAAACTTGGTATACTTATGTCATACAGATGACAATACTATATTCTATCATAAAAAAATATATATTTTTTTACATTATTTTTTTATATGTTATGTTTCGGCTTGGGTCTAATTGTCCATGGTCAAGTGACGCTGGCTGTAATTGGCCACGGTCCGTTACGTGATGGCAAGCTTCGGGGTCACTTCCTGGAGTTGTGGAGTTCTCCCATTACTAGTACATTTCAAAAAAGCGTGTTTAAAAAAAAGTTTTTTAAAATATTACTTATTTATTCACAAGCGACCTGGCTACCACAAATGATAGCTCAATGAAGTGGATTATTATTATCACGTGCAAAATTAACGCTGCCAAATACTCTTAAGCGCGTGATGTTGATTCTAAATGTGGAAGGAAAAGAAAACGGAGGATCCGGAGGAAAATCCATGCGATTACGGGGGAGAACGTGCAAACTCCAAATATACAGGCGTCAGGGTCGGGATCGAACTCAAGACATCATGGAAACCAGGTGAGGTAGCTAACATCTTACAGCGCTAGTACTGCAGTAGCTGCATAACCAACGAGCTCAATGGGGCTTTAAAAAAGTTGAGTTTCATTTGGATATTTTTGTTAAAGTGATTCGTTTATCCTTTCTCCTGCACTTCCGTTGTGTCTTTGTATCGTTTGTTGTTGTAACGGTCTGACCCACGCGCCTACTGGACATCTGCGAAAAAAAGAGCTTCGCGACTCATTGGATTTGTCCAGTACAAATAAATAAATAACCGGGTTCCGTGGCGCGGACCGCCGGGAAATTAATCCCCGAAATAAATCACGGCCCCTTTCCGCTCACGAAATTAAGTCACGGGCCGTATCACCCACCCCTGGCCCTACGCGCGTCACATGCCCAGGCGCCCTACATCCCACGGTCTCCCCAAGATTAAACGGGATAGTGGGCAACGTCGCTTGCGAGCGTTACCCTTCGACAGGATCGAGCGCCAGCGCGCGCGGATTGTCCAGGTCCTTCCACACGAGCACGGCGCGGTGCGCCCCGTCCTGGCGCGCCACCTCGATGCGGTTCGTCATCGTGTCCGCCCAGTACAAGTTCTTGCCCAGCCAGTCCACGGCCATGCCCTCGGGGTAGTCCAGCCCAAACTCGATGACCGTCGCCATCGCGCTGCCGTTCATGTACGCGCGGCTGATCGTCTGCGGGAACGAAGGAGGTTTCATTGCCGGACGTGAAACAAACAAACAAGCAAAAAGCAGGGGACGATAAATTTTACCTCGCCGAATAGCCTGCGAAGGAGCAATACGTACGACAGGTTTCACTTGCCAACGAATGCCGAAATGCGACGGGAGCGGGCGCAATAGCTTGGTGCAGCGGTTCCCAACCGGTTCCCAACCGCTGCACCAAGAAGTGACCTGGCCACGTATGATAGCTCAAAAAAGTGTCTTATCACGTGGAAATGTAGCCAAATAGAGTACTGTAAAGGCACGTTGATTCTAAATGTGGAGGGAAAAACCTGAGGACCCGGAGAAAAATCCGCACGACCACGGCAAGAGCAAGAGACACGCAAACTCCAAATATACAGCAGCAGGCGTCGGGGTTAACAGAATCGAACCCACGATCTCCTGCGTGCCAGGCGAGGGAGTTAACATCTCCTAGCAAACTCGGCGCCGAGCAAAGGGCTCCGCGCCCTCGAAAAGGTTGGGAACCGCCGGCATGGCGGACGTCGTCTTAACGAAACGCAAAACACCCGAACCCCCTTGCGTGCGCGCTCCGACCTTGAGGCTGATGTCGGTCCAGTAAATGCGATTGTCGGCCACGTCGAAGTCGAGCGCCGACGCCTCCTTGATGCCGGCGAGCGGGATGGCGACGTCGCCGCGGGCGTTCGTCTCCAGCGAGATGCGGCGGATGTCGCCGCGGCGCGAGAACAGCAGGAAGGCCTTGGGCACGACGCACGTGTGCGCGTCCGCCAGCAGCTCCTGGCCCAGGGGGCAGCCGCAACGGAGACCCGCCGGGCGGAACAGGCAAAGGTGGCTGCACCCGCCGTTCTCCTCCCCGGCGCAAGCGTTCGTGCCTGTAGCCGGTGACGGCACGAGCGGTGGCAGGCGGCGAGGGGGAAGGGGAGGCGGGGAGAGTAGCGCAGCGGCGACGGTCAGAAATGTATCCGGCGAGTGCTTTTTACACACACCAGAATCAGAAAGGGTTTTATTCGCCATGAAAGTTCGCACGGACAAGGAATTTACCGTGGCAGGGAAGGTGCATGCATTCAACATGTAGGAATCTTAACACTTAAATAAGTGGTATACAGTCTAACTATACTAAAGTTACAAAGTCTAACTAATACTAAGGGGCTAAAGTATGTAAAATTTTGAATAAGTATACAATATAAAATGTGAATTAGCCATAATATACAATCTTAAAATACATAAAAATACAAACAGGTTAACATGTTGTAAATATGGCAAAGTGTAAAATTTGTAGATAAAATGTTACACGTGACTTTCACGCAGTTGAGGGCGCCAGGCACCGAAGAAAAATAGACAGCCGATCAAATAAGCGCGTCGATGGTTTTGGCGAGCCGTCGAGCGAAAGGCGGCCAACCGCGTCGCGCGCTTTCAGATGCGCTCTTCCCTGCGGCGCGCGACGGGGTACCTGACGGAGCGGCGATGGCGGTCGCCTTGAGCCCCATGAGGTCCGGGAGCTGATCGATGAGGACCTGCCGCTCGCCCGTGTGCTTGTGGGCGCGCTCCACGCTGCGCCGCTGCCAGTCGGTCCAGTAGACGAAGTCGCCCAGCAGCGTGAGGCCAAAGATGTGCGGCAGCTTGTCCTCGACGAGCACGCGGCGGCCAGAGCCGTCCAGCTTGATCATCTAGCGACGCGGGGGTCAGGGGGGGTGAGGAGAGGGAGGTGGGCGGCCGCACACCGTTAAGAGACGAGCTCGATCGTAAGCACAGGGCCGACTTGGGATGTCGTTGCTCTGGGCGTGTGTGTACGTGGAACTTCTTTCGCACCGTACGCAGCCAACCGTGATAATCGGAGGAGAGGGAACAGCACCGCATGTTGCAAATCGGAGGTGCGGGTGGGTTTGTGAGTGCTGCGCTGGCAGCGTTGAAATCCTGGTTTATCGAATCCTGGAAGCTGACCATGACTAGACTTGGTTCGCATGTGCGTGTGTGTCAGAGGTCGCAACCGGGTACCCTACCCGATACCCGTACCCTACCCGATACCCGGCTACCCGTACCCGGTACGGGTACCCGTTTGCGACCCTGGTGCGGCCGGGTACGGGTAGGCCGTGAGTCACTGGCGAGTAACCGTTTGTCACTCATTTCCCAACGTCTTGTCTCTTCTCACAATTCAAGTTCCTAGAATCAACCCACCCGCGCCTGCAACATGGCTTCATCCCAGAGGTTGCAATCGGGTACCCGTACCCGTACCCTACCCGATACCCGGCTGGGTACGGGTAGCCGGGTATCGGGTAGGGTACGGGTAGCCGTTTGCGACCCTGGTGCGGCCGGGTACGGGTACGGAATCAAAACCCGTTTGCGACCTCTGGTGTGTGTACGTACGTACGTATGTTGAACTTCTTTCGCGACGGCACGTAGCCAACCATGCTTAAACGGAGCAGCAGGTGGTTCATGGGTCAGAGCGCCGAGCTGGCACCAATGAAATCCTGGTTTTTGGAATCCTGGCAGCTGGCTGTGACGTAGCCAACCGCGCTAATCGGAGGTGCGGGAACTCGCTGCATGTGGAAGCGAGTTGATTGTCAAAGTCACCAATTTTAAACCGACGAACCGATTACATTTTTAGTTCCCCCACGGGCCACAGGAAACGTAGCTGTGCAGCATTCATGCCGCAATTGAAGCAGACGAAATAAATTACAAAACCAGTGGGATCTGTGGGCAAATAAATACAGTGGATGCCCTGAACCCCAAGGATAATAGGATTTGTGGAAGAGGAAACAAGTATAACCCGTAAAAACAAAGTTTTTCACTATAAATCCTTTATATGCGTGGCGGCGAGAGTCCTCTCGTCCTCTGGCTTGAGATGGCTGCCACCTATGGGTCAGATGATTGCATGGCAGCATTAAGCAATTGGTAATTAAATATAATATTTTTGTGTTAAAAAGTGTAAAATTTAAGAATTTTTTTTCACGAACATAAATTGTCACGCACAACGGAGTATGTGTGCAAAATGTCAGCTCGATTGGATCATGGGAAGTGGGTTAAAAAACGACCGAAAGATTTGCACGGTCCTAAGCAAGCAAGCAAGTGGACTTGATATAAAGGATTTAAAAATGGGGGTCATACACGTTTAATAAAATAAAAATGTAATCAAATGAAATGTTAAATGAATGAGATCAAATGTAATGCTTTGAATCTGTTTGCTGCGTGCCAAGGTTTTTGACCGTCGTTGTCACCGTCCACAGGACAATGTCCACCAAATCGGACAATTCCAGCCGGGCCCATGCAGAAGTGTGTGTATTGGTTTGCAGGAGTGTTTTTGCAGTGGAAGAACTGGCGAAAGCGTTCAACTCGCAGACTGTCCAAATTAGATGCATCTCACGTTCGAAAACAGCGGGGTGGGGGGGGGGGGGATTTGGCAGTGACGTCGAGTGACACCGCGCCAAGCAAGTGGCACAGTGCACATTTCAGAACTGGTTGAAGTCACGTTCAGTTCGTGGCAAAATTAAACATTTCAGATGGGGGACTTTCTCGTATGGAGATTAGTAAGAGACCGAGTTTTAACTGGACAGCGCGATTAATAGTAATAAAATAGTAATAAATGAAAATAACCAAATTATTATTATTTTTTTACCTACGTGACTTTACCGAAAAAGAGCATGAATCATTGCAATCACGAAAGCTTCAAATCTAGAAGTAATTAAAACTGTTCGGATCACGTGTCCTTTCCGACGAGCACATAACATGTCGACAATTAAGCATTTTTGAAAGGCCACGCTTTGCATGCAATGGGTCGCGCAGCAATTTATTGCCATTACATCATCATGATGATTATTATTATTCACTTAAAAACAAAACAACGCGTTGTGGGAGGGGGAGGCTGGCCATCTCCGAGGACCGGCTGCTAAGAAAAGCACTGCCCCACCACTTAAATTCCTAATAAAACGGCAAACCGGCTTGCGAAACCGCACGGCAGGAATGTTGTGGCGTCAGCGCGCGAACTCTCGTGTGGCCAAACAGCGGACGGGCTCAAACGACGTGTCACATCACGGTGGCAAAAACAAAAAAAACTCGCCAAAAAAAATTCAACCAACGGTCACACGAACGACTGACCCGCACAGCGCTGTGTGTTTGCGGAACCTCATCCCACTTAGTGATCACAGCTTCGGGGATTGGGAGGTGGGGAGGTGGGGGACGCGTGGAGTCTGGAGAGAAAAAATTCGATTCGAAAGTAGAGAGTGTGGGAGGGGGGGGTCACCAGAATTGAATGGAGTTTTCCTGTAATTACAGAATGATGGTAAATTTACTTTCATGTCTTCTTGGTTCTTTCGGTAAAGTCACGTAGAAGGGAAATAATAAAATAAATAAAATAAAACATAATAAAATAATTCTCACGACGTTTCGGCCACAACGCAAGCAGCCGTCCTCGGGTGAAGAACAGGTCTGTTGGAAAGACAGCGTCTGAATCAACACCACCATGCTTGGCAGCGTATATTTAAGCCGAAATTTACTTTCCTGTGTTTTGGAAGGCGAGTTGGCGGAGTGGATAGCGCGCTGCACCGTGAAACCCGGAGACTCGAGTTCAATTCCCCGGGTCACGACTTGCCATTGAGTAGCGAGTGGTGTGGTAGTCCGTAGGTCAGAGCAGGAATTGGTATCACATCTAAGGGTAGCGCATCTTGAGTACAACCCATTTATTTACATCGCCAATAAAAGTTAATTGCACGATAGCCATCTGACCATTTGAAATTGCTATTGCATGATTTAGTGTTACTGAACACGTAGAAATTGTAACCCTTGGGGGGTTATGCCAGCTCAAGTGGTACTGGACAAGAGAGAGATCCGATCTGGGGCTCATGGGCTAGTATCTGGACTGGGTCCTAGGACCCTCATCACCAGCGTGGTGAAGTATGGTCAAACAACACCGACATGAGCCCAGTTCAACACGTGGGACTTTCGCGTCCAATATTATCTAAAACAGAGATTTTTTTTGGGTGAGATCGTCACGAGCGTCAAGGCGTGTGGAGGACCTCATCCCAGAGTGGATTGATAAAGAACTAGTAATTGGTATTTTTAAATCCTTTATATTAAGTTCACTTGCTTGCTTGCTTACGACCGTGCAAATCTTTCGGTCGTTTTTTAACCCACTTCCCGTGATCCAATCGAGCTGACATTTTCCACACAGACTCGTTGTGCGTGACAATTAATGTTCGTGACATTTTTTTCAAAAATGTTTACACTTTTTAGGTAAATTTTTTATTTATTTAATTACCAATTGATTAATTGTGGCAGGCAATCATCTGACCCATAGGTGGCAGCCATCTCAAGCCAGAGGACGAGAGGACTCTAGCTGCCCGTTTCAAAGACCAATGTGGGCTGGGTTGTGGCCCATTGAACACGCATATAAAGGATGTATAGTGAAAAACTTTGTTTTTACGGGAACATTTTTTTTTTCTGAATGTCTTTTAATTATCGGATCACGTCGTGAGAATGAGATAAAGGGAGTTGCGAGGAAAGAGTGTCTCACGGAAGTGACCGCCGTTTTTACTTTTAACGCTTTTTTCATTCCTCTGTCACATTAAATCGCTCGCTAATGTTTCACGCTTTAAAAGTTCAATCTAGAAACATTAGCCGTTCCGAGTTTTTTTTTTAATAGAGAGGACAATGATTCGAGCCCTTGACCCACAATCACGAGCTTGTGACTTTAAACTCAGGCTGTTTTTTATTTTTTTAAATGAGCTGTAATGTAACTCTTTTTCAGAAGCGACCTGGCCACAAATGACAGCGCAACGAAGTGGCTTATCACGTGGAAATGTATAGCGGTCAAATACTCTAAACACGTGATGTTGATTCTAAACGTGGAGGAAAAAACTGGAGGACCAGGGGAAAAAAATATCCACGCGACTACAGGGAAAACATGCAAACTCCAAATATACAGCAGCAGGCGTCAGGGTCGGGATCGAACCCACGACCTCCTGTACACCAGGTGAGGTAGTTAACATCTCATAGCCACCGTGATGATGATGAGAGAGACGCAAACTCCAAATATACAGCAGCAGGCGTCAGGGTCAGGATCGAACCCACGACCTCGTGCATATCAGGCGAGGGAGATAGAACATCTCACCATCGTGGCACCCCATATAACCTGCACCGTCCACCCCGTTTAAGCCGCGTTCGTTCCACTAACCTCCAAAAAACGTTCACCTCATCTAAAACAACCAATATCTGTGCGTAAAAACTCACCGCATTCATCAAAAACACCGACAACACAAAAGAAGGCGACATTATTGACGAACGTGTTAAGGTCTCTTCGGTCAATAAGTGTGCCTGTGCACCGCTGCCAACTCAGCAGCAGCAGCAGCAGCAGCAACAGCGTCGCCAAATAATCTATTGAGCATCTTACACTCACGGCTCAATGCACTGCGTACACGAGAGTTTAAAAAAATAAATCATCAACGTTGGCCAACGGGTCACGAACGCGCCGATTTAAAAACGATCATTACGTGTTGCTTGTAATTAAAGCCACGCAGGCTGGAATGTAGGTCGCGTTAACGCAACACACACACACAGAGTGAGTGGCTCTTACTTCCGATATTAGCAAGCCACCGGAGCTACGCACAAAAATTCGATCGCGGGCACCGCGTCCGCCCCCTCCCCCCTCTTCCCGTGACGGTCGCGGTGACGGTGGAGGGGGTGGGGGGGGCTCACCTCGATGCGGTCCGTCTTGGCGTCTCCCCAGTACAGCGTGCCCAGGGCGATGTCGAGCGCCAGCCCGTTGGGCCAGCCCAGCGACGTGTTGACGAGCACGACGCGCTCAGAGCCGTCCAGGTTCGCCTGCTCTATCTTCGGCCGCTCGCCCCAGTCCGTCCAGTACATGTACCTGACGCGCGGCACAGGAACGCGCGGCAGACGCAACACAGTGGGCCAGACGCTTTGGCAATCGGGTACCCGATACCCGTACCTTACCCGATACCCAGCTACCTGTACCCGGCTGGGTATCGGGTACGGGTAAGGAATCAAAACCCGTTAGCGACCTCTGCTCTGCGATGCTGCCGAATTCAAATTGCGTGCCAGTCACGGTGGCAGTGCCCGGTCAGTAGAGGGCGCCATAGAGGCGCTGCTAAACATGAACTTGCAACTTATATTGTTATTACACGCTTTCTATTAACTCACTGTCTGTTGTTGTTGTATCCTCAAATCTTGTAACTCCATTTTAACCCACTTCCCAATGTGGTATCGACTGCAAACTTGGTATACTTATGTCACACTGATGACAATACTATATTCTATCATAAAAAATAATATTTTTAAACATTATTTTTTATGTTATGTTTCGCTTTGGGTCTAATTGTCCGCGGTCAACTGACGTTGGCTGTAATTGGCCATGGTCCCTTACGTTATGGCAAGCTTCGGGGCCACATCCTGGAGTCGTGGAGTTCTTTCATTACTAGTACATTTCATAAAAGCGTGTTTTTAAAAAAGTTCAAAAAACATTTTATCTCTCGCACTTACAAAACCTTGACACCGGCACACCGCAACACAGCACGGTAAGCGACTACAAACCACGAGCTGTTGACGGTCGTCATTTTTTTTTCTATGGGGGTAACGACAGTGGGCTTATGGCCAAACAACCCGGAATGCGCCTGATCTCATCAAATCTCGGAAGCCAAACGTGGGTGAGTGCCCACGACGTACGACAAGTTGTTTAACAGGCTGCAGGAGACAGCCAAAGCTGGGTGTCAGAGCAGCAAGCCGCTATTGTTGTACCGCACTTCTACGCTTCCCAGATCGACGGCTGCCCAATTTAACCAACCGGCACTGGCCAGCATTACGTGTGATCAAATAACCCCCCGCGCTCCCACGACCTAAAGAGCGTGGGGGAGAACCTCATCCAGCAGCGGATTGACAAAAGGTGGAATGTACAAGTGCAAGGCCTCATTGATATCTGAACGTTAACTTGAACAGTCCCGACTTCCCAACCCCCCACAACCCACACCGACCAACGTAGTGAAGTCCAACTAACTCGCACTTTCAGATGCGCTCCTGCGGACGTCTGGAATGCCCTTCCTTCCAATACTATGCAGCCGCTGGAGCTACGCACTTTTAAATCATCGAGATTGACAAACGAATTTCTTTCGGATCCGCTTTGTCCGTTTAGTTTACCGTCCTTTCTCCATGCGACCTCCGAATAGCGCGGTCGGCTACGCACGGTGCGAAAGATTTTCAACGTACAGTAAAACCTTGGATTGCAAGTAACTTGGCCTGCGAGTGTTTTGCAAGACGAGCTAAATTTTTTAATAAATATTAATGTGATGAACGAGTGAGGTCTTGCAATACGAGCAGTACGTGTATACGCTGTGTCTGCCGAGTGTCATGTGATCACAACTGATATAAGAGTGCTTTGGATTACAAACACGTTTACGGAACGAATTATGCTCGCAATCCAAGGTTTTACTGTACGTACGACTATGAGCAGAGGTTCCAGACCACCAGGAAAAAAATTGTGGCTCATCTTTCGAGGACTTGGGGGGGAAACGGCCACACACATCGCTGCCTAAAAGACAGCGTTGTCTTGCAGAGTCCCAAACTCAACTTAAAGATCAACCTAGATTTGACTTAAAGAGTATTTTTTTTATTCATGGGCCGCTACATTGATGCCGCTGCAGTTGCCTTCTTGCTGCGGCCAAGCGGCTCGACCTGAACGGTTGGCTACGCACGGCGCGACAGCCGTTCGACGTAAGTACGTACAAGCGCACGCGGCGTGGTAGATCCCCGTTAAACGGCGGCGGGGAGACCGACAAGCGGGGCGTGGCGCCTACCCGGCCAGGGGGTGGAGCGCGAGCGCCCGGGGCTCCTGGAGGTCCTCGGAGACGAGGACTTGGCGCGACGAGCCGTTGAGACGTGCCACCTCGATGTGGTCGGTGCCCGTGTCGCTCCAGTAGAGGTTGCGGGCGATCCAGTCCACCGCCAGCCCGTCCGGGTGCTGCACCTCCGTCCATACCAGCGTCTCTTCTGTTGGTTCATTTTGCGTTGTTGTTGTTGTTGTTGTTGAATCAATATCAGAGAGGTCACATCAGACAGATAAACAATGATAAAGACCCCCCCCCGCTCCACCCGGATAGCCTATTAACACTGTTGGGGCAAGTGCTGTTAGTGAATAGCGCCTATGTAATCCCCTACATAGCCTGTAACAGACTGTTTGGGCAAGTGCTGTTAGCGAGCACCTATGAAGGCCGGCACGGCACAACGAGGGGGCGGGTGGCCAGCACCACGCCCGACCGCCTTTGTTTCCCTATTGGCAATGTTTACTACACACCCGCACAAGGTACTAATTTGAGGCCGAGTCGACCTAGGTGAGGCCCAGATAACCGTCGCTGGTGGTGGCTGTGAGCGGGAATTTAACTCGGGTCGCTGGGTTCATAGCGCAATGCGCTCACCTCAACACCACCGCTCCCCACAACAACAACGTATACACACACATACGTACAGTGAGGGAAAAAAAGTATTTGATCCCCTGCTGATTTTGTACGTTTGCCCACTGACAAAGAAATGATTAGTCTAGAATTTTAATGGTATGTTTATTTGAACAGTGAGAGACAGAATAACAACAAAAAAATCCAGAAAAACGCATGTCAAAAATGTTATAAATTGATTTGCATTTTAATGAGAGAAATAAGTATTTGACCCCCTCTCAATCAGAAAGATTTCTGGCTCCCAGGTGTCTTTTATACAGGTAACGAGCTGAGATTAGGAGCACACTCTTAAAGGGAGTGCTAATCTCAGCTTGTTACCTGTATAAAAGACACCTGTTCACAGACGCAATCCATCAATCAGATTCCAAACTCTCCACCATGGCCAAGACCAAATAGCTCTCTAAGGATGTCAGGGACAAGATTGTAGACCTACACAAGGCTGCAATGGGCTACAAGACCATCGCCAAGCAGCTTGGCGAGAAGGTGACAACAGTTGGTGCGATTATTCGCAAATGGATGAAACACAAAAGAACTGTCAATCTCCCTCCACGTTTAGAATCAACATCACGTATAGCAGTGAGTATTTGACTGCTATACATTTCCACGTGATAAGCCACTTCGTTGAGCTGTCATTTGTGGCCAGGTCGCTTCTGATAAAGAGTTACATTACAGCTCAAACCGGGTGCGACACGACCGCCGCACTCGACGATAGCTGGCGCAAAAATCCGTGCTGCGCGCCTACCGCATGCCCTTGCGGGGAGTCTCGGCACCAAAATAAAATCTTAGTTTTTCTCCCGGTGTCGTTTCGACGATGCAAGGGCCCTCGTCTGCTAAGCAAAGAAAAAAAGCCTTTCACCACTCGACGCTCGGCGACCACCGCCCGCGGCGCGCTTACCCGTCGTGGGGTCGGCAGGGCCACCGCCGGCGGCTTGCAGCGACGCGCGCTTCACCACGCGCAGCTCGTCGTCGCTCCAGTACACGTGGCCCTCGACGGGGTCGTAGTCGATGGCGATGGCGTGGCGCACCTCGCCGGCGCCCGCCAGCACCGCGTCCGTGAAGTCGGGCGTGTCGAGCGAGATCTGCCGCAGGTCCGTGCGTCGCGCGAGCAGCAGCACCTCCTGCGCGCCTGTTTGCGATGGAAGCGCGGTTTCACTTGCCGACGAACGCCGAGATGTCAGCACGCGACGGGCGCAAGAGCTTAGTGTGTCCAAGCTGTGATAAGCGGACCCCGGCGGTCCGCGAGGCTACTACAAATGGGTCCGCTGAAAATGTTTGTATTTATTTTTTTGACCAGCGTAAGGGCCCAATTGAACTGTGCAGATTCTAGATTTGAAGCTTTCGTGACTGCAAGGATTCATACTCTTAGGTTTTTTCGGTAAAGTCACGTAGGTAAAAAATTTAAATTAATAAAAGTAAAATAAAAATCACGACATTTCAGAGGCAACACAAGCTTCCGTCTTCAGGTGGAACCGTCACAGCACGATTGCTGCAGCAATCGTGCTGTGATTGCTGCAGCAATCGTACTGTGATTGCTGCAGCAATCGTACTGTGATTGCTGCAGCAATTGTGCTGTGAAGCTTGTGTTGCCTCCGAAACGTCGTGATTTTTCTTTTTCTTATTTTTACTTATTAATTTTTTTTTTACCTACGTGACTTTACCGAAAAAAACCTAAGAATATGAACTGTGCAGCTCTTTTTTCAGAATAGGTCCCGGCTATCACAAACGATAGCTCAGCGAAGTGGCTCATCATCATGCTTCCCCACAAAGCGGTGGTACTTTATCGACCCTGGAGAGGGATGATGGGACTGGGGAACAACACCAGAATTTGAACTCGAGACATACCGACTTGCGAGAGCCATTCGCCTCTACCGCAACAGGCCAACCGGCCGGACGACCGAGAGGCGGCCGCACGAATGACACCGATGGACTAACGCGAGAAGCCAAGCTTGGAGAGCGGGTGTCTGTCGGGGGGGGGGGGGCGGAGGGGACGCCCGCTTACCCTGGCGGCAGGTCTTGTTGTCGGCAAGGATCTGCACGCCCGTCGGGCACACGCAGCTGAAGTGCGGCTTCGCCGGGGACATGAGGCACAGGTGCGAGCAGCCTCCGTTGTCGTCGCCGCAAGGGTTCCGGCCTGCATAAGAGGACAGGTACGCACGCAGGTGCGTTTGGTTTAACGCGACAGAAGAGGGGCGGTGGCGGTGTGGTGGTGTGTGTGTCATGCCAGGCAACGAGGCTCGGAGGGTGACGATTTCGCCACACCCAGAGCCGTGCCCAGAGCCGTGCCCAGAGCCGTGCCCAGAGCCGTGCCCAGAGCCGTGCCCAGAGCCGTGCCCAGAGCCGTGCCCGCCAGTGTCTGCCACGCGCGCGATCTGACGAACCGTCGTCTATTCCACGGGCCTCGACGTGCGACAGCTCCCGGCTCGCGTGGCAAAATGTGTACCTCCCCTCCCTGTATCCCACCCCCCTCCACCACCACCACCCCACTTTCTTGTTGCAACTAGCACAGCGCGTACCGACCGTGTCCGTCCAGCGCTCGCTGAGCTGCGTTGGCTTCCGGTTGCTCAACGAACACATTACAAAGTCGCACTCATTGCACACACAGTGCCTGCCACAACACCTCGCTGCTGGTCTCGTCAAGGGGCATAAACCATCACGCAAACTCCGGTCATCCTCGCAGCAGCGGAGGATTTGGCTAGCCATCGAACAAAGACGGGCACCGCATCGCGTGCTTTCAAACGCGCTTCAGCGGCCGTCTGGAACGCTCTTCCTTCTGATATTTAGGAAGCCATTAGGAGCTATATGCACTTTGAAATCATCTCGATTGAAAACGAATTTCAACAAAACTGCTTTTTGTGTTTAGTTTGTTGTCCTTCCCCCGCACCTCCGATTAGCGCGGTTGGCCACGTACGGTGCGAAAGAAGTTCAAAACAAGCACACACCTACACTATGGGAACCTCATTTGCCAGTAAAAATATGATAATTGTTTTTTTACCCTTCTATCTGGCAACAAAACTGACACCTTTTTACAAGGAGTCATGTTTGCATAGACCGCAATACCTGCAGTCATAATACAAACAAAAGAACATAACTCTGATAATGTATGCACTGTCCTTGAAGTTGATTGGTCCACAACCGAGACAGCTTTCCTTAGAGCCTAGTCTCACATGGGTTGGACCAGATGACGCCAAAAGGCGCACAACTCAAAGACAATGCACCATCAGAGTATGAGAGCTCGGGGCAAGCATCTACACTATGGGAACCTCATTTGCCAGTAAAAATATGATAATTGTTTTTTTTTATGTTCCTTTGTTTGCATTATGACTGCAGGTATTGTGCAAACATGACTCCTTGTAAAAAGGTGTCAGTTTTGTTGCCAGATAGAAGGGTAAACAACCAATTATCAAGCACACACCTACGCACGTACCAGTGGGCTGCCGCAGAGGGCTGTACGCGTGGATGTCCATCGGGGAGTAGATGTCGGTGACGATCTGCCGTCGGTCGGAGCCCGTGAGCTTGGAGCACGCGTGCACGGAGCGCGTCTGCCAGTCGGTCCAGTAGAGCGAGTCGGCGAGCAGCGTCAGGGCGAACGGGTGCGGCAGAGACCCGTCGATCACCACCTGCCTGCTCGCGCCACGGGGACGACGTTTGAGGCCTCGACTTTTACACAAAGCCGCCGATGCGGGAGGGTTATCCCCACGCTCTCAAAATGCTTTGTTCACTCCCTCACTGTGACCCCCAACACCGCCCCCCCCCACCTCAAATATTACATTGTGCCTAAAAACCATATCATCCGGTTTTAACTTTGGCACGGTACATGAAGGACCGAAAGCTTTGGTTTTATTGACATGCGACGAACGTCCTTTTTGTAGGGCACATAAAAAAAAACGTGTGCCAATGAGAAGGGGGATGAGGGGCAAATGAAGGGGCTTCACAAGTAGTTCTGTGGCAGAGTCTTCCCGGGGCCAAGGTGACCCAAAGTCCACGTTGACCCCCCGTCGCGGTACAGACAAGCGTGGGGGATCGTGGGCTGTGGCTGCTCTAAATGTGCTGGAAAAGGGGGTAGCAACTTGGTGCCGGCCCCAGAAAAACAACGACTATTACTTTTTTAAGCGACCTGGCCACAAATGATGAGCGCGACGGAGTGGCTTATCGCGTGCAAATGTATATCAGCCAAACACTCTAAACGTGTGACTTTTCTAACTGTGGAGGGAAAAACCGGAGGACCCGGAGAAAAATCCACGTGACCACGGGGAGAGAAACACGCAAACTCCCAAATATACAGGCGCGAGGAACGGGATCGAACCCGCGTACTGCTGTATACCAGGCGAGGTAGTTAACATTTGTCTGCGAAAGCTTTATAGGTGTAGCAACCTGCTCTTACGATTTAAAGCAATCTCCAAAAAATCGATACATTCCACGATGGAAAGGCATCGCAATGCAGTTGACATTTATCTTCCACGGGCCACACAATATAAACGTGATTAAAATCCGCGACGTTGCTCGCTGACCAACGCAAGCACAACCGGGTGATGTCACAAACAACGTGATTTGTTTTGATGTCGAGATAGTGGCACTTTCGACATGAAAGGAAAACGTCTAACCGGTTCACAGCAAAAACAGATTGGCAAAAGTTTGCCGCGTACAGTGGGAGAAAACTATCGCAGAAGAAAATAATCTACCACCGGGGGATGTAGTTTATTCTTTTTAAAGAAACATTTGCAAAAAAAGGTCTCGCAGAACCTGTTATTTTCCTTCAACGTAAAATTCACCGGTGGTGTAAAAAAAGCCAGTCTCCCACCGAACTGAGTTTAAAGCAACGTATGGTCTCTCCAAACGAACGCGAATCTATAATCCTTAAACGAGCTGTGTGTCCGCGCTTGTCTGGCGTGCCCTTGAAGCTTTCTCAATGGAAATGTTTCGATAAACTCAACGACACCAGATTTGAAGTGTTCGTGACTGCAAGGATCCATACTCTTTGGTTCTTTCGGTAAAGTCACAACACAAGCAATCATCATCAGGTGTGACAACCACAGCAAGGACATTTTTGACTGAAGTGAGAAATTCTGTAAAAAAAAATGCCTTGCTGTGGTTGTCACACCTGATGATGATTGCTTGTGTTGCAATCGAAACGTGATTTATTTATTAATATATTTCATTCACGTATTTTTTTATTTTTTCACCTTCTACGTGACTTTACCGAAAGAACCAAGAATATGAATCCCTGCAGTCACGAAAGTTTTAAATCGAAATGTTATTATTTATTTACTTTTATTCCAGGGTTTGCCAAACTCCAGTCCTTGCAATTGAACACGTAGGCATTCGCGACCGATATTATTCATAATAGTAAAAGTTTGTTATGGGTTAGATCACTATTTTTATTTTACCAGGTAAGGGCTCACCGAGCTATATTGTAGAAGTGACCTGGCCACAAATGACATCTCAACGAAGCGGCTTACTGTGTGGAAATGTATCGCCGCCAAATATTCGAAAACGCATCACCAGTGTCACGGCGCATACTGGGACGCGAATTTTCACTTGTTTTGCCACGAGCAAGTGTGGTAAATGCAAACTGATGCTTTGCAATAGGTGTCTGTTCGATGTATGAACATCTTAACACCAACTGTTTTATTGCCAGAAAGGATAAAGCCTATTCTCATTTTTTCGGTTTGATTAACCCTTTTTCATTCCGAGATTCGGCGGCGAACAGAACCCCCCCGCCACCCCCCAGTTCCCCATCCGGCAACTTGTAGACGTCTTGTAACGGGAAAGGGTTACACTATGGGAACGTCATTTGCCAGTAAAAATATGATAATTGTTTTTTTACCCTTCTATCTGGCAACAAAACTGACACCTTTTTACAAGGAGTCATGTTTGCATAGACCGCAATACCTGCAGTCATAATACAAACAAAAGACATAACTCTGATAATGTGCACTGTCCTTGAAGTTGATTGGTCCACACTCGAGACAGCTTTCCCTAGAGCCTAGTCTCACATGGGTTGGACCAGATGACGCCAAAAGGCGCACAACTCAAAGACAATGCACCATCAGAGTATGAGAGCTCGGGGCAAGCATCTACACTATGGGAACCTCATTTGCCAGTAAAAAAAGGGTTAATCGGTAACCGCACAACGAAAGGAGTTGGGTGTTGTTTTTTTTTAGGAGCGCGTCTCCCTTGCCGCGAGCAGCCCCTTCACCGGAATGTGCCATCGAGGTTGGCGCGGTGGATGTAGCTGAGCTTGGCGTCCGCCCAGTACAGCTTGGAGGCCTCATAGTCGATGGTGAGGCCATTGGGCCAGAAGACGTTCGTGTCAATGATGACGGAACGTGCCGTGCCGTCCATGCCAGCCCGCTCGATCTTGGGAACCTCGCCCCAGTCCGTCCAGTACATGTAGCTGTTCGGGCACGCACACAACAACAACAACCGCCGTTCGTCACTATGATGCTGCTAATCCTGCATAATGCACGGGCATAAGTAGTACTAATCACATACCTGCATTTCCCATAAATATGCTAAATTCCTCTTGATATGCAAATTCTTTTGTCAAGGCGCCCTTTCCCCCCCTTCCAACCCAGCTTAAATATACGCTCCAAGCATGGTGCTGTTTCATTCAGACGCTGTCGCCTCGACAGACCTGGTTTTCACCTGAGGACGGCTGCTTGCGTTGTGGCCGAAACGTCGTGAGAATTATTTTATTATGTTTTATTTTTATTATTTTATTACTTCCCTTCTACGTGACTTTACCGAAAGATCCAAGAAGATGAATCCCTGCAGTCACGAAAGCTTTAAATCGAAATTTGGCGGTGACGTCACCACGACGCTTGCGCCAGGCTGTGCGGACTTTAAGGCCACGTGAAGTGTCGAACGCCCGCTGGCAGGAGGTCACGGGACAGACCCAGGTGTCACGGGTTGACCGATTGAGATGACGTGCAGACGCACCACACGCATGCAAACACAAGCTGGTCGCACTAACACATTCACGGCCCGATTCGCATCGTGGCAAATGTGACTCTTCGTTAAATTCCTGCGGCAAAGATGGGGCGATTTTGCGAATACCGAGTGGGAGTGCGGAAGGAAAGAAAAACACAATCGTACGTCATAGCCCCGTACATATTCATAATCAAAATATGTATTTATACTGGAAAAATGAGATGAGCTATAAAGCAGTTTTTCACAGATGTCCAGTCGGGGCGGGTCAGAGCGTTAAAACAACAAACAGAAAAACACGATCGGAGTGAAAAGTATATGAATTGTAAACAAATCACTTAAAAATTTAGACAAAGCACATTTTTCTTCTTGGTTCTTTCGGTAAAGTCACGTAGAAGGGAAGTAATGAAATAATAAAAATAAAACCTAATAAAATAATTTTATTTTTTATTATTTTATTACTTCCCTTCTACGTGACTTTACCGAAAGAACCAAGAAGATGAATCCCTGCAGTCACGAAAGCTTTAAATCGAAATAAAGCACTTTTTTTTATCTTACCAGGTGAAAGGTCACCGAGGTATTAACCTATTTTTTTAGAAACGACCTGGCCACGATTAGCAGCTCAACAAATGTGCTCATCACGTGCAAATGTATAGCGGCAAAATAATCCATCTAAATCATCTCAATGCACGTTTCTAAACGTGGAGCGACAAACTCAGAATCCACCGACCCCACTTCAAAGATGACGGATTAAATGGCGTGCGTCAACCCCACAATATGCCGTCGAATCAAAATCTTTAATTATCCGACGAGCGATAAAGCTTTTTTTCAAAGATGTCCAGAAGGGGCACGGAGGCGGGATTGGGTAATAAAGTTACAACAACAAAACCAAGACGAAAAACACAATACATTTTTCAGCACTCGCATTGAGTCTGGATGATTTCGTTTTGGCTCTTAGTTCTTTACTTATTTAAAGGGCGCCACGGTGGTGCGATGTTATCTTGCTCGCCTGGTATGCAGGAGGTCGACGGGTTTCATTCCCACATTGACGCCTGCTGCTGTATACAGTGATCCCTCGTTTATCGCGGTTATTGGGGACCGGAACCCCTCGCGATAGGTGAAAATCCGCGAAGTAGGATTGGCCCCCTAGGAATTTCCGTATATGTGTGTGTGGGTACCAGAATGTTTAAAATATGTATATTTATACTTTATATATATATATTTTACTTAAATCTATTTAATTATAAAACCTTAATATTATACATTCACTCTCTCTCATACGATACGTATTATGGTGTTCTACACTCACCAATGACAGTAGTATCTTGAGACTTGACTCCAGTAATGACGACGATGACAATGACGATGACAATGACGACGATGACAGACCTGTGCAGTTCGATGAATGTGATGATGAATGATGATGATGGTGTTACTGCACAGGTATAAAAATCCGCGATGCACTGAGGCCGCGAAACTTGAACCACGAAGTGGCAAGGGATTACTGTATTTGGAGTTTGCGTGTCGCCCTCTTTCTCTCTGCCCGTGGTTGTGTCGATTTTTTTTCCCTCCACATTTAGACTATTTAGGTGATGTTGCCGCTATAAATGTCCAAATGATGGGGCCACTTTGTTGAGCTGTCATTTGTGGCCAGGTCGCTTAAAAAAGTAAGTTAATACCTCAGTGGGCTTGGCCTGGTAGGATGGGGATGGTTTAGTTTCATTTGTAGATGTTTCGGTGATTTGTTTATTTTTCGTGTACTTTACACTCCTATTGTGTTTTTGTATTATAGATGTTTTGTGGTAATGTTCTTACCCCCGTGCCCCTACTGGACATCCATGGAAAAGAGCTTCATCGCTCATCGGATTCCTCCCGCAGTACAACTACATAATCTGATTCGCTTAACGTTCGGTCTTCAACTTCAGTTTTATTTTTCATTTTCCTGCTCCGAGGAGCAAAACATTTTTAAAGGAGGAAAAAAAAAATCCCAACCGGTCAACCAACCAACACGAATCGTGTGGATATACTTTTAAGTCTCCTCTTAAAAACTATTTTTTTAAAGTCACGTAGAAGGGAAATAATAAAATAATAAAAATAAAACATAATGAAATATTTCTCACGACGTTTCGGCCACAACGCTGTCTTCCCGACAGACCTGTTCTTCACCTGAGGACGGCTGCTTGCGTTGTGGCCGAAACGTCGTGAGAATTATTTTATTATGTTGTATTATTGTATTCTTTTATTATTTCCCTTCTACGTGACTTTACCGAAAGAACCAAGAAGATGAATCCCTGCAGTCACGAAAGAAGCTTTAAATCGAATTTTTTTTTTAAGTCAGTTGGTTCTTTTTGGCTTCTCATTCTCTTGGCCTTTCCTTACAAGGCACCTTAAGACATTAGTGAAAGGCGCCCGACAAATTCATATAAAATAATTATTTTTTATCTGGCACTCTTTTTTGAGCAGCTTTTCTCACGCGCACGCAGGCTGTGACATTTCCGAACAGACGCCCCACAATCACGCGGCCCCCGCAGCCGTCAAGGAAGGCGGCAGCCCCCATTCACAGTCTATTCAAGACTTACAGATAAGGCAAATAACCTGTCAGAGTGGTTGCTCTCCCGAACCCAACACAGTGGCCAAGCATGGTAATCATCGAGGCTGCTTTCATCGGTTTCGCAGTTCGATTCCCCAGCAAGCTAATTAAGATTTCTGTGGGGTGATATTGTCAAAGCATGCTGACCAACACAAAGACAACGATCCCTCGTTTCAGCACCAACAGACTGTAGGGGCAAGTGCTGTTAGCGAGCACCTATGAAGGCCGGCACGGCACACGAGGGGGTGGGTGGCCAGCAACACGCCCGACCGCCTTTGTCTCCCCAGTGGCGATGTTTACACATCGCACCGGGTACTCATTTGAGGCCGAGTCGACCTAGGGGAGGCCCAGGACCGGTTCAGATAATCGCCCACTGGTGTTGGCCGTGAGCGGGAATCGAACTCGGATCGCCGGGTTCGTAGCGCAACGCACCAACGCTACCCTAACCACTCTCTACTACACTCCTGCTGATCGCACACGCGTATACTCATGAAGTAAGTTGTGTTGCTCATAGAGGTTCAATGACCATACTTGACCATGCTGGTCAGTGATAGTTGGTGAAGGCCTGGGGGGGTGATGAGTAATTCAAATGGTGACTCGAACTCACACTTCCAGGGCCATGGTGCACAGTTCACTCACTACTGCGCCGGCGCTAATATCCGCTCCCCAACAATACAAAAATTTAGGAAAGCAAGAAAATAAACACGCAACACAAACTTGTTACAGCGCACAATGCGCACCACACGTGCACCTCACTCTCGCGCGCGTACACGCCAAGCGCACAAGCGCGCCGCGTGTCGCACGCACAAACACGATCCGCACGTGGAAAAAACCATCTTGGTGCGCACGTGCACTGCGCGCGTGCACACACCCCCCGTCCGCCCCCCATCCTCCCAAGACGTACGAACCAGCCGCTCAGAGGCGCAGTGGCCGAGGCGGATGTTTAGACACCGGGAAAACAATCCCACATGTGTGACTGATGGGGCCTGGAGGCAGCGGCAACTGTAGCAGCAGCAGCAGCAGCAGCAGAAAAGCTGTTGTCCACTCCCCGTCACCGCCGTGTGGCCTAATGAATGAGGCGTGATTGCCAACGCCTGCTGGGGCCTTCGGAATGCCTCCCCCCACCCCCCCCGGCTACCCACCTCCCTCCCACTCCACTCCACCAGGCCCCCCCTTTCGGCGATCGTCCCACACGGCCGTAACTATATCCTACCCCTTTGCTCTTAAACCCGGGGCCCTGTTAAAAACAAAAGCGCCCGAAGGTTGCCCCTGCCTGCGCGCAGACAGACGGCAGTGATTTCTGTTCCGACGCGAATGCACCACTGGGGTGGGTTTGTTGTTCGCGCGTGCCAAATCCTTCTCTGGTTTTTGTTTGCAGCTGGATAATATAAACCAAATCAGTTAATGTCGTCGTGTGTTTGTCCGCGTGGGTCTCTGGAATTGTTGGGTGTCTACGTGTAAGCGGTGATTGATTAGTCTGTGCAAGTCGGTGTGCGTGTGCGTGCACCTGTGTTTGCTGGGGAGCGGTAGTGTCGCGACCCGAGTTCAAATCCCGCTCACGGCCAATACAAGCGACGATATTTTTTACAGGTCTTGGGCTTCTCCTAGGTCGACTCGGCCTTAAACGAGTACCTGGTGCGGTGTGTCAACATCGCCACTCGGGAGACAAAGGCGGCCGGGCGTGGCTTTGTCCACCCACCCCCCCCTCGTGTACCCTACCAGCCTACAAAGGTGCTCGCTAACAGCACTTGCCCCAAAAGTTTCTTCAGGCTATACGGGGGATCTTTGTCTTTGTTTGGGAACGGGGTGGTGGGGGGATGCGGAGAAACGCAGGGGAAGAGAGTAATGATGGCTAATCCACTGCAGTAAAATCCCAGCGACTTGCATTCACTCGCTTGTCATCGGCACTGACGGCAACATTCTGTCTGCGTCCGGCACGAGCCTTCCTTGCGTCAACTTGGGTCTAAAATATAGGTTCCTGTTGAATTTCGATTTAAAGCTTTCGTGACTGCAGGGATTCATCTTCTTGGTTATTTCGGTAAAGTCACGTAGAAGGGAAATAATAACATAATAATCATTCCCACCAGCGAGAATTATTTAGTTATTTTAATTATTATTATTTTATTTTTTCCCTTCTACGTGACTTTACCGAAAGAACCAAGAAGAAGGTTCCTGTTGCTCGCAGCAACTCTGGTGATACAAAGGTGGCCAGGCACAACGTGTACGTGCGCCGACCTTCTTTCAGCCGTGCGAAACGGAGGCCGCGGGGAAGGACAACAAACTAAACACCAAAAAGCAGTCCTAAAGAAATGAGTTTGTGATGTGTCGGTAGCTTTAACAGGTGCTCGCCGATTGCACCGGCATTAGCGCGCTGCAAATGGGGACTTATGTTGTAAGTGTGGGGGGGGGGGCTCGCTTGCAACTCACCCATTGGTGGAAAAAAAGGAAAAATAAAATGCGCAAGCGTTATGGAAGTTTCGGACTAAGCCGAGCGCAGCTGCAACCCACTGGTGATACCCTGGAGAATGAAACAGGAAATGTTTGGCTTAATCAGAAAACCATGATTAAGCCAAGGAGAATATCGTAAAATCGGAAGTGCTTGGGAAGCTTTGGGGACTGGTAGTTGAGTCAGGGTACCGAGTCCACACCAATAGTGAATAATCATGATATTATTTACAGTAGATCATCGATTAATTATCCACTGGCTTCGAGTTGGAGGGAGTGCCAGATTTTCAAAAACGCCGGATCACCACGACATTATTATTTAAAAAATATAGTTTTTGCACATTTTTGCATGACATTGTTTCGAGTTCTTTTTGTGGTTTTTAATTTGTTTATTATTAGAAATTGGCATACGTGAACATACAAATAGACAAAAATAAATACCCTCCTGTAAAAAGTCACACTATTTACTGCACCGTACTCACCACTCCACTCTCGGAGACTCTTGCATGGAGTGATGTGTATACGTGCAGTATTTTCACTGTTTAAGTTGAATGTAGTGTATAATGTACTGTATATACTACTTGACACGAAATTCAAGCGTAGCTACTTTGTTTTTGTTACGCACGTGGTGCCGATCGCAGGACTAGTTACAAGCCTTTGGAGGGGTTTCGCCGATTGACTTCACCGGATCGGCCCGGGACTGCCGGATAATGTGAGAAGCAATCTTGATTTCCTGACTGCAGGTCATCCGCTTGTGTGGCGATCGAAACGTCACGATCCATTATTATTTTTCGACGTGACTTTACCGAAAGAACCAAAGAGAATGTTGGAAGCAGGCGGATAATCGACAATCAACAGCGATATATTCATTCAGGAGAGCATGCCTGCATCCCAAGGGCCCATTTCAGGAGGGTTCTGCACTGGTGTGCGCGTTTGATCAATTCCATTTTAAGGGGCATTTTGCATGCGGAAGTACAGGGAGGAAACGCAGGCATACGACACAGAAGGTCCATACGGATGGGGCTCGCAAAGCTGACCTTCACTGACATCTCTCGGCTACTCCGGAAGCCTGTGGGGGGAGGCCCTTCTCGTGCCATGTCAGTCGTAGGGATTTTTTTGCCAATCTTTTTGGGGACGTACAGGTTCATGAACGCGTGGGGGAGAGACCAGGAGCGCGCTTCGGATATCACCCGCAACCGATGCTAGCCTTGACTAGGAATCCAACTCGGGTTGCGAGGGGGTCGGCGTGCAACTCGCTAACCACGCCAATTGGCATCCCACGCCGAAACGAAATCTCACGTTAATGTGTCGGCGATCACGTGACTTGCACGAAGACCTATCCAACATCTCAATCTAGTCAACTCCTTGACGCCAAAGGTGATTTCAAAGTTTCACGTTGCGATTGTTTTAGTTACACTTCGGATTCAACTTAAAGAAACAACAACAACAGTTCTAAATTTTAAGTTACCGTTGTTTAACCAGGTGAGAACTCAAGAGACCAGGATGAATCTCACTTGCAAGAGCGACTTGGGGGGCGTCGATCTGCCAGTAGGGGGGGAGGGGAGCAATGATCGCTCCGCGTATTCCACCAAATTGGGGAAATTCGAAAATTCGGGGTAATTTTTCGAATTTAGGTTAGCGTAACAAATGCCCAACAGGGGAAAAAAAAAAGTGTAGACGGATACAAAATATCGCAAATGTGCCAATACAACGCGTCGACTGAAAATACAACGGAGAGTAATGGGGGCCCGGGGGCACGCCCTTGCACCCCACCGCCCCCGGCCACCAACAACTTAAACGTAACATCTTCTTGGTTCTTTCGGTAAAGTCACGTAGAATTGAAATAATAAAAGTAAAACATAACATATTTTATTATGTTTTATTATTATTATTATTTTATTATTTCCCTTCTACGTGACTTTACCGCAAGAACCAAGAAGATGAATCCCTGCAGTCACGAAAGCTTTAAATCGAAATTTAAACGTAACAATTCACAACGACGCCCGTCAACAACATCATCATCTCATTCCACTAATTCCCATCACAATCCAAACACCGCCGCTACCGACGCTGCACCACAGCCACCGGACCCAGCCTCCAATCCCCCTCTCACACCGACCCGCGGGGAGGGACGGCTAAACAAGAGCACCGTTATGGGACTGCCAGCGCCAGCGGCTCGGCACGCGAGCACGAGCGTGGACCACGGCTTCGGTAGGAGCCGGGGGGGGGGGGGTGCAAGGTCCTCTCCGATGAGCGTGTGCGCGCGCCCGTAACCGTTGCCGGACAAGAAGAAGTGATTATGTGCAACATGTTTACAACAACAAAACTCCATCGGCAACCAGAAACAGTGTGTAGAGAGAGAGAGCGAGAAAAAAAATTGTTTGGCTATCTGTCAAACCCTATCCCGTAACCCAGGGGGGGGGGGGGGGGGGGGGGTTACATTCATAATACTTTTGCTTCGCAGGCAGTGGTAGAATATAAGTTAGCGGTAGGGTTCAGGCTAAGGTCAGTAGAATAACCCTTACGACTTGGGTGAAGGATGACAGCAGGCATTAGAGGCAACAGTTGGGACTCCCTATGATTGTGTTTGAAAGGAAAAGTATTCTACGTGGAGTGGGGCGAGTGCTGGGATAGCCCAATGCTCACGGCTGGGTTAAGTGAGGGGGGTGTAATCGCTAAGGCCACGGCAATGCGGAGCCAATCGGCCGCTGGAAACGTTGTTTTCACTCGACCGCGGGCCTACGGGAAGGGCACCCCCATAGTAGTATCCCAATCGACGAGAGATGAAAAATCGGGAAAGTGTGACAACTCGTAACGTGTTGGGCATCCGCCTCCTGGAAGTAGGAGCTGCCTCTATGCGATTAACTTTAGAACGGTAAAAGACGATCGTCACGTCACCCAACTAATGCGTTCCAGTTACTCCGGTATCTTACGAAGCTCCAAATGAAGTGACGTCGTTCACGTCGCACTGCAGGCCGATAGTCGAATGCGCATGACGCAACAGCCACGTGATCTAATCCCCAACAGTCGATGGCTTAAACCCCCGACGGCCAACTCGCCAACACTGCCATTCAGCGAGCTGTGATATATTCTTTGGTTTTTTCGGTACGCAAAAAATAAGCCGCACACAAAGCAGCGATTGGTGTCCGAAACCTATTACACTGGTCAACAAAAACAAAACATTTTTTTCTGGCCTGGATTTTTGCAGCTGTTTTAGACTAATTTCAGGGTGCCGATTCCAAATCTGATCTCAGATTTGCTCTATCACATCTCATTTTATGCTATAGGCATACCCCATTTTCATTGATTTTACCCGAAATTAACTCTGTCACTTATGATTGCAAGTTGTTGCGAGTCAGTGACTGCTTTAGTGTTAAAATATGGTGCTGTAGTTTTAAGATAGTGTGTTTATAATATCGTTTTATATAGATATCCACATTTATTTAATATTTTTCTTCTGCAGTTTTTATTGAAACTGCAATATTTGATATCTCAAAAACCTGATGTGACGGACAAAAACTGATGCCAGATTTTGGAATCAGCACCCCAAAATTACCTTCAAACCGTTGAAATACCTTATGCCAGAAAAAGTGTGTTGGCCAGTGTTATGGCGCTGGCCTCATTCAAGACGGTCTCAAACGAGAGAAGGATCACGTATCCAGACGTAGTGGCAACCAGACGTGGCCGCACCAGTCCCTCGAATACGAAGCGAGCCCCGCCAACAGCAACTTTCCCCTCCCAGTGCGCGTACGGCCGCGCGGAGGCAAACGTTCGTCTGCGCGTCCGTACCCTTTGACGGGATGCAGGGCGATGGCACGGGGCTGGTCCAGCTCGCTCCACACGAGCACGGCGCGGTGAGAGCCGTCAAGCTCGGCAACCTCGACGCGGTTCATCTCCGAGTCGGTCCAGTAGAGCTTGCGGCCCAGCCAATCGCACGCCAGACCATCCGGCGACACCAGGCCCGACACCACCACAGTCGGAGAGCCGCCCTGCTCCGGGACAAATAACAACCCACGAGAAAATGTCAGGAGAAAAAGAAAGTCAGGGGGCGGTTCTTTAATCCACGCGCTCCTCTTTCCGTCGTTGTCAATGCGACTCCAAAGTGCGCACCATCTCGGTGATAATCTGAACACTTTCCATTTTATTTGTTGAATTTTCACATTTCTGATCCGTGTCACGGATAGGTAATGCGCATTTCAATGCATAAAAAAAACGAATTTCTTCCGAGTAAAAAATGCAGGTTGGAAAGCATTATACAAGCCATGCATACGTGCGATTTGCTTTGCCAACTTTGTGCATGCATACTCTTAGGTTTTTTCGGTAAAGTCACGTAGGTAAAAAATGAATACAATTTTAATTTAAAAAATAATTTAAATAAAATCATAAATCATTTTTATTACTTTTATAAATTTTCATTTTATTATTTTTTACCTACGTGACTTTACCGAAAAAACCTAAGAGTATGAATCCTTGCAGTCACGAAAAAGCTTCAAATCTAGAATTTGTGCATGCATCACAATTTCCTTACTCGATATCCTTGCAAAAGGGAACTCCACAACATTCCGTACTTCCGCAAGGCGTTCTTAGTTTAGTTACAATATCAATGTTTTGATGCTCTCTTGCTGACAAGAATAACCTTCGTCTAATTGACATCGATCGACAAGTTCACTTTATGTTGATCGTAATTTACATGATAATTGGTTTTTTACCCTTTTATCTGGCAACAAAACTGACACATGTTTTACAAGGAGTCATGTTTGCATTGATCACAATACCTGCAGTCGGAATGCAAACAAAAAACACAACTCTGATCATGTATGCACAGTACATTACAAAACACAACTCTGATAATATATGCACAGTGCATATGCACAGTGCATACATTATCAGAGTTATGTTTTTTGTTTGCATTCTGACTGCAGGTATTGTGGTCAATGCAAACATGACTCCTTGTAAAAAAGGTGTCAGTTTTGTTGCCAGATAAAAGAGTAAAAAAACAATTATCATATTTTTCTACTGTCAAATGAGGTTCCAATGGTGTATTATACATCTCTCGTTAATCCACTGCTGCTTGAAAACCTCCCCAAGCTTTGTTGTGGTTTCATGGGAGTAGTTGTCGACCAGACGTTACCACATGTAGGTCCCTGCGAATAGGTTCAAGTCCGGAAACCGATTCAGAAATAACTCGGCAATGGTATTAAACGTGGCCAAAACTCAAACTCAAGGTCACCGGTTTCATAGCGCAACGCTCTAACCACTGCGTCACCGCCACCATAATCCAACCTCAGAATCAAAATGTGTATTTAGACTGGAGGAATCCGTTGAGCTGTAAAGCACTTTTTCACAGATGTGCAAATGTCCTTTGCACAGTACAGTCAGAGCCAGCCTGTCCATATAAAAATTACAGCCGATACAAACCGATCCTGTTACACCGAGTGTACAATGCAGTGTGGACAAGACATCTACACAAAAACACAAAGAAAAAGATCCCCCGTATAACCTGAACAGACTGTAGGGGCAAGTGCTGTTAGCGAGCACCTATGAAGGCCGGCACGGCACACGAGGGGGTGGGTGGCCAACACCACGCCGAGTGACGATTTTCTTTTTTACACCGCACCAGGTACTCATTTGTGGCCAAGTCGACCTAGGGGAGGCCCAGGATCGGTTCAGATAATCGTCACTGGTGTTGGCCGTGAGCGGGAATCGAACTCGGGTGGCCGGGTTCGTAGCGCAGCGCGCTACCGCTCACACACAGACAGACAACGCACACACACACACACGCACCGAATGCGCAAAGCAGGACATTATCAACTAAAATAAACTTGATTTTGAGTCATTAAGCCACGGCAGAAAGGAAACCCCTCGAAGAGGAATCAAGGCGAAACTCTTTGTCACGGGAAACTGGGAATGAATGAATTGAGCAGTTGTAACGCGAAACGTGCCCGCACCGCGGGTACGTCACGCGCGCCACCGCCCCCACCGACGCAACGCCCCCCACAGCCCCCCCCCGCCTGCCCGCCCCCACAGAGGACCGTTCTGCATGGACCAGTTCAACACGGGCGGCACGGAGAGCAGTGGAGAAGGGCGGCGGAGGAGGCGCTGTCTGAGCGCCACGGCCTGACGTCTTCAAAACCGGTCGAGCAAGGGGGGGCGGGGAAGGAGGAGGAGGGGGGGGGCGCCAATGACGCTTGGTTCTGTTGTCGTCTCTGCTGGCGCGGGGCATGCGATGAGAGAGAGGAGCCGGGCCTCTGCGGGCAACTGTGAAGTGAGCGGTTGTCAAGAGTCCGTTCACACGCGCGCCCCCCCCCACCCCGTTAATGAATGAGACGAACTCTGTGCGCTCCTGTTTCGGCGTAGTGGGCTGGGCGCAGGTGATGCATGTGCCAGTCGCGCGAGTCGATTGTACCCACACAACGGCCGGCCTTGTCCCGTAGATTTGCTCGCGCGAGCTCTCAAAAGCGCACCCAGCCTGGCACGTGGGCTACGGTGACATCACCGTCACGTCGTGCCGGCCGTTGTTGTTATGTTAGGGCGGTCTAAGTTAACCGGACAGTTGTGATGAATGGCATGCATGTGCGTGTGCAACCGTAAATCAATTTACACATTTCTTAAGTGTACACTTGGGTAGCGGAATTGAAATGTAAACGCATTGTGTTGCCACTATTGCAATTCCATATGCACAAACACCACGTATAAATTGGTGGCGTGACATGCTGTACATATACGTGCACCTACGTATGTACGTAGAACATCTTCTTGGTTCTTTCAGTAAAGTCACGTAGAAGGGAAATAATAAAATAAAACTTAATAAAATACAATTCTCACGACGTTTCGGCCACAACGCAAGCAGATGTCCTCAGGTGAAGAATAGGTCTGTTGGAAAGACAGCGTCTGAATGACAGACCTGTTCTTCACCTGAGGACGGCTGCTTGCGTTGTGGCCGAAACGTCGTGAGAATTGTATTTTATTATGTTTTATTTTATTATTTCCCTTCTACATGACTTTACCGAAAGAACCAAGAAGATAAATCCAAGCAGTCACGAAAGCTTTAAGTCGATATGTAGAACATCTTTCGCACCGTACGAAGCCAAATGTGTTGATCAGAGGCGTGGCGGTAGAACAAACTAAACACAACAACACGCAGTTCTAAAGAAACGAGTTTTCACTCCGGATGATTTAAAAGTGTGTAGCTCCAGTAGCTTCCTAATATCGGAAGGAGAACGCTCCGATTTAAAGCTTTCGTGACTGCAGGGATTCATCTTCTTGGTTCTTTCGGTAAAGTCACGTAGAATGGAAATAATAAAATAAAACATAATAAAATAATTCTCACGACATTTCGGCCACAACGCAAGCAGCCGTCATCAGGTGGAGAACAGGTCTGTCGAGAAGACAGAGACAAAGCGTCATTCAAACTCTGTCTTCTCGACAGACCTGTTCTCCACCTGAGGACGGCTGCTTGCGTTGTGGCCGAAAACGTCGTGAGAATTATTTTATTATGTTTTATTTTTATTATTTTATTATTTCCATTCTACGTGACTTTACCGAAAGAACCAAGAAGAAAGCTCCTAAGTGTTTAATTGCAGGAATGCGTGGCCGCGATGGTTGGCACCACATGCCGCACGTGCACAACTGTGACACTGCGGCAAGCTCTGCTCGTGCATATTGAGCGTTCTCGTTATGCGCATCTGCCGTTCGACAACTCCCCTGGTGAGAGAAGGATTGATGCAGGTGCATACAAATACATTGTGGTGAAACACAAATAATGATGATGATGATGATAACGATGTTACACACTGCTCCTCTATTTGTTGGTTGTACTCAATCTCTGAAATATTTGTGTTTTTGTCCTTTGTTTATCTTCTCCCTTGCAAAATAGCCAGGAAAATGGCTAAACGGGATCATCCGTGTAACAAATCAAATAACCTCAATGAATGAAAACCGACTGGCGACAACTAAATGCACTTTGTGCGGCGAGACAAGACGCGCCGTACAATGTCGGCGGTAAACATCGGTCAACTTGCGCGCACGCGTGTCCCACCCGTGTCCCGCCCGTGTCCCAACCGTGTCCGAGCAAGTGTGTCCCGTGCGTGCATGTCCCGTGCGTGTCCCGTGCGTGCGTGTCCCGTGCGTACGTGTCTCGTGCGTGTCCCGTGCGTGCCCCGTGCCCCGTGCGTGTCCCATGCGTGTCCCATGCGTGCGTGTCCCATGCGTGTCTCGTGCGTGCGTGTCCCGTGCATGTCCCGTGCGTGTCCCGTGCGTGTCCCGTGCGTGTCCCGTGCGTGTCCCGTGCGTGTCTCGTGCGTGTCCCGTGCGTGCGTGTCTCGTGCGTGTCCCATGCGTGTCCCATGCGTGTCTCGTGCGTGTCCCATGCGTGTCCCATGCGTGTCCCATGCGTGCGTGTCCCATGCGTGTCTCATGCGTGTCTCGTGCATGTCCCATGCGTGTCTCGTGCATGTCCCATGCGTGTCTCGTGCGTGTCCCATGCGTGTCCCATGCGTGCGTGTCCCATGCGTGTCTCGTGCGTGTCCCATGCGTGTCCCATGCGTGCGTGTCCCATGCGTGTCTCGTGCGTGTCCCATGCGTGTCCCATGCGTGCGTGTCCCATGCGTGTCTCGTGCGTGTCCCATGCGTGTCCCATGCGTGTCTCGTGCGTGTCCCATGCGTGTCCCATGCGTGCGTGTCTCGTGCGTGTCCCATGCGTGCGTCCCGTGCGTGTCCTGCGCGTGCCCCCCGCGAGGGGCGTGTCCCGTGCGTGCGGTACCACGAGCGAGCGGTTGAGCTGCGCGCGCTTGATGGCCTCGTCGCTGACGTCGCTCCAGTAGACGGTGCCCTCGTCGTAGACGTAGTCCAGCGCTGCCGCGTCCTCCAGGCCGGCCAGCACCACGGAGACGTTGGCCCGAGCCGTTCGCCCGGCACCCCGCGGCGACGACGCCGCCGCGTCCACCACGCGGATGTCCCGCCGGTTGGCGAAGAGGAGAAGCGGCCAAGCTGTTGTGCGCACAGGCAACGGGATTTCACGCGTATGTTTTCGCGAATAAAATTATCCGGGTGTTTTGGGTTAGGTCGCGTAAATGTGTCGTGAAACCCGCCACCACCCGGTTTTGCCACGTCAACAAAACGTGCAATTTCTTTCCTAGTTCAGCACACCGGTGTGTTGGACAGTAAACCCACAACAACATCGACAATTCTATAACCGTGCCATTTCGCCAAAAATTACAACAACCGGCATCATGAGGCGGAGAGTTGTGAAGAAATCCTCCTTCTGTTTCGGTCTTAAATAGACGGGGGATAAATGTGGGGGGGGTGGCGGGGGTTCATGTATGCATATAAATTACAACGGATATCCATTATCGGTTGGATCGATAGGGTAATCAACATACAATACGGCAAAGGATGCCGCCACGCCACCAGCCCCCAACTCCCCTCCGAACACGGATTCGATTTCGGGTTTTCAACAAAACTCAAATTTGTGCACGCGAATCCGGAAGCGAATTTGCGAGGAGCGTGGTGCTGATGGTGCAGCGCACGCCATGGCTACATCCGGCAACAGCTCCCACCACATCACAGCAGGGGATGTATCAATACATGGATACCGTGTTTAAATTTACACTTTAAATGCTTCCGAGCACTCATGCAGCTTATTATGTACATACTCTTTGGTTCTTTCGGTAAAGTCACGTAGGTGAAAAAACAAATGAAATAAAAAAATAGAAATAAATAAATTTAATCACGACGTTTCGATTTTATTTTATATATTTTTTCACTTACGTGACTTTACCGAAAGCACCAAAGAGTATGGATCCTTGCAGTCACGAAAACTTAAATCCTTTATTATGTACATCAAATACACTGAAGTATAGGTTCCATTCGCACACTTGAACATTACGGGGCATATTGTATCCGTCACATGCAACGCGCTGGGTTCATGCAGCTGCAGTTGGAGTGCCTAGTAATTTGCTGGTAGAGTTCTTAGCACATTGCAACATTCGTAATTTGATTTCATTTTTGTGCTTTTCTAAACTCAAGCAAATAAAGATTCAGACTCCCGTCAGATTCAGCTGAAATTCAGGTTTGAATGAACGTGACCCAGGATGGATTCGTCCCATTACTAATCTAAAAAAATTTAAAATCCAATCACAACCCCGGCCTGTGACAATTCATCAAAATCAAGGAGCGAGGGGTCGGGAGATTCCAAAGTGTCCCACATTTAAAGACATACCTCGGCAACCAAAGACAAAGATCCCCCGTATAGCCTTGACAGACTGTTGGGGCAAGTGCTGTTAGCGAGTAGCACCTATGAAGGCCGGCACAGCACACGAGGGGGTGGGTGACCAGCACCACGCCCGACCGCCTGTGTCTCCACAGTGGCGATGTTTACCACACACTGCACCAGGTACTCATTTGAGGCCTAGTCAACCTCAGGGAGGTCCAGCACCGCTTCAGATAATCATCACTGGTGTTGGCCGTGAGCGGGAATCGAACTTGGGTCACCGAGTTCGTAGCACAGTGTAGCGCTAACCGCGACAATACTGCTCCCCACCACGCACACACACAACAACAACCACCGCCGCCATTCGCTACCAAGTGTCAGTGACGTCACCACGGCGCTTGTGCCAGGCTATGTGCACGTTGAGGCCACGTGAAGTGTCGAACGCCCGTTGGCAGGTCACAGGGCAGACCCAGGTGGTGCCATGGGTTGACCGACTGAGATGACTGGCCGATGCACCACCTGTGCCCCCTACTGTGCCAACTTGCTGTGCCTTAGCCACCCGGCGCTCCGCTCATTGTTGTGAGCGTCGCTCCTCCGCCCTCCGTTGTTGTTAAAGGGCGACTGCCTCCAACTGCCCAGTAGCGTCCTTCACGAGCCTCCTCCACAGAGGCCGATCTTGACACTGCTGGTACCAGTCATCGGCAAGTCCACTCAGCTCCACGTCCTTCTGTACCACATCACTCCATCTCTTCTCTAGCCCGTGCCACGCCCGTTTAGCCCCCTCGATCCGGCCGAACAACACACACCGACACACAAACGCGCGCGCGGCTCACGAGGACACAAAGATCCACCCAGAGGGCCTCACGGCTGCGTCTGCACCGGTGCACTTCCCCGAGCTACCGGGGCCAGCACCCCCCCCCCCCGGTCAGCAGAGCGGCGGCGCGCACAACGTCACACTGCCATTGAGGCGCATCAGACCGTTGCAATCGCAGGCCAAAGCCTCCCACAGCCCCGAGGCTTTGTGCGAGCCCGCGGGCTGCCAAGACCTGTGCCTTTTAGCGAGCACCGCAAGAACGCATCGGCGCGCTCGCACCTACGCGGGTACTGTGCCGCAAGGCGCCCAACAATGTTGTCTTTCTTCGCACCGGCGAGCGGGCGGGCGGGCGGGGAAGCAACACCGTAACGGGTTTTTTTTTGCTACAAATCGCAAACTGCTTGGGGGTCGAGTTTATAAATTTGCCGTCGTCGTTCGAATGCCAGGTTATGGCTGTTTGGTTCCGTGAGATTTCTGCAGCAGCTGTGCGTTCAATGTTTGGCAGAGGCACGAATGAGCGTGTACGATTGTGAAGGATGTGAAATCTTTAATAATGATGAGGCCAGTTTCAAACATTGGGCAACCTCACATTCAAAATACTAATCATACATTTTTGGTGTAAGTTAAACCTGATTATATACAGTTTTAATCATGGAACCAGTCAATGGTTTGACTCGTGTACATAACTGAATGTCCATTACAATCCCAGCAAGGATGAAACGTTAGTTTTTCTGAGTACATCCAACACTCACGTGTGTTTTAGTTCACTCATGAATGAATATTACCTGCAATGACATGGATCAGAAACATGGACATCGAGGAAGTAGAACGGCAAGCGCGCAGATAACGGAGACTGTTCAAAGAGGCATGGAGAGATGAACAATTTGAATTGCACCGAGATATGGAAAGCGGAGCACATGCATTGTAGAACGTACGAGGGTTTAACGACATCATTTTGATCTTCAGGTAGCCGTGGATCGAGCATGACGGAGGTGATAACAAGCACGGCGAGATGCATGCAAGGAATTACACGGCCAGAGAGAGAGGAACACGCGGTGGATCGGGCAACAAGAACAAATCAGTTTTTATAGATCTCCTTCCAACAGCGGAGACAGACCCTGGCTGATGATGACAATCAGTGACGTGGGCCCACACCCAGGCTTCTCCCGGGATTCCCTTGCTTGCAAAGGCACGGGGATCCAGGCAGGGAAACCAGGTGAGGCAGGCCTGGCCCGAGGGGGCCACTAGGCCTCAACTGCATGTATGTTTAAAGATAACAAGTTAATTGCAAACGTGATTACGTCACGTGGAATAAAGTTTCGATTGTCAAGGTCAAATACGGTTGAGGCCTTCGTGGAGTGTGACGCCGCGAGACACGTTGTATAATCACGCCATCAATTTTTACCTGTTTGCTCCAGGGTAAGCCTCTTATATGGCCAAGCAGAGTTGACCAAAACCCAACGAAAATCCGCCCAAAAAAAGATTGATGCGGTTACCACTCCGATCCAGTTAAAATATAAACATTGCGCTTTGCAGCCAAGGCGTTAAAAGCAATGATAGTGGACTTTGCTTAACCCGAACAACGGCCAATAACCAATTGGGTTGACTTCCTGATAGCAACAGAACTTTATACCGACCTATTATTTTAAAATGTTGCACATAGAAGAAGACCTGATGATGCAGGCAGTGCTGACGAAGGAAAACTGGGACTAAATGTAGGATGAACAACAACAGGAAAATAAAAAGTGTTGTTGTTCTTGTTGTTCAGAAATAAAAGGAAGGAATTGGAAAGAGCGGAAGACCTAACAGAGAATGGCTTCATAATCAACGTTTAGATCGCGTTATATATAAATGTGTTGTAACCCTCCACCACCCGACACGGCCAATCAGTAAAAAAAGTGTCACGTTGACAAAAGACAAATAGTTCACTGCTTTAGCCCACCGGTGTGTTGAAGCGTGAAACCACAACATTTACAATTTTTTTTTGAGTACGACGTTTCGCTGGTAATTGCATCCAGCATCATCGGGCAATTCGCCAGAATGGTGAGGCTCTGCGTGTTAAAGAGAATGGCTTGATGACGATGACGACGAGATAAGAGATCGGTGCCAGAAAGATGTGAACCACTATTTGAGCGTATTGGCACTAGAAGACAGAGAGGAAAGTGTAAACAAATGTGGAAATGTGCAGCGGACAACTACGGGCTATCAGCCCATGGATCGTGACGATGATTATTTACATGAGATAATCAATTTTTCGATTTAAAGCTTTCGTGACTGCAGGGATTCATCTTCTTGGTTCTTTCGGTAAAGTCACGTAGAAGGGAAGTAATAAAATAATAAAAATAAAACATAATAAAAAAAAATTTCGAAGCGCCCTTTCCCCCCCTTCCAACCCAGCTTAAATATACGCTCCAAGCTCGTGTGCTGTTTCATTCAGACGCTGTCTCCCCGACAGACCTGGTCTTCACCTGAGGACGGCTGCTTGCGTTGTGGCCGAAACGTCGTGAGAATTATTTTATTATGTTTTATTTTTATCATTGTATTACTTCCTTTCTACGTGACTTTACCGAAAGAACCAAGAAGATGAGATAATCAATATGAGAATCATGATGACCCGCTACGGATGGCCAGAGCTGTAGTGCAAATACCGCAACGCTTTTCAACCTCAGCTGCAAAGCGTTGCTAATGAGTACGCGCACCTTTCAAACGTTTGAAATGCACGTCGAAAATGGTGGCAATGCCCGCTTATAATTGTAACGCCTCTCTTGTACAATTGCAATTGTAAAGTGAAATTGTGCGAGGTGGTGGGAATACTAAACTAAGTGTAATTTACACAATTTACATTAGAGTATATTCGCTGGCACTTATAGGCCTATGTAAATAAATGTTCCAATGAAGACCAAATTTAAAGCGTAGTTAAACTCATCTTATTGCAAGAGATTGCACGGCAATTTTTACGACATT